TTTTATCCATCCAACCAAACACAAAAAAAGAAAATATATTTTTCCTATTTTTATCCTTGAAGAATAGAAAATATATCTCTCCTACTTTCCATCCTTCCTACTTTTCATCTTCTCTACCAAACGGAACTTTAGTCTAGCATCGTTGTTGTCAATCTTAAATGCATATGACAACCCTGGCCATTTGCGAGAAAAAATCTCAAGGAGACCATAACTTATGCCGGGATCATATGCAGTCATGTCGTGGCAAGAGGCAACTGCGTCGTTTCACATATCACTCCATGAATCTAGAAGTACCATCTGGCCTTCAACCATTCTAATCATGCACCTCAAACAATGCATAGAGACACCACCTTCAACGAATCTTTATTTTTCATAGTCTGGGTTGCTATGCAATACCTTATTTTTGACACATTCAAGTCATTATACACGATAAAGTCGTTTGCATGAACCATAATTTTTGGAGTCTGCACCAGCCAGATCAAGAAAACTAAGACATGGTTGAACATGTCAATTTCAGCAGCGCACAAAGATGATTCATTATTTCTCTCTGTTCCAAACTTCAAAAACCAAACAATTAAACAGGAGAGGACACGCCTGTGAAACACAATTCCAGTATGGAGTACCACAATCAGATGCCTAGGGTTCTCCACCAAGCTCCACTCGTAGGTTGTCGTATGGGTAGACCTTCGGTGTCTGGTCAAAACAAAGGGAAATTCAATCAGAGGCAGATTACTGAGAAGTGATAAAAGAAAAACAGCAATTAAAGAGTTAATCAATTATGGTGCTGCTTTCTTGGAAAAGAGCAAAAGAGGAGTACAAGGAATTGTCCTCTGAGACAATCAAGGAGGTTTGACAATAGGCCATTCCGGTACTATCCTCTCACCCTGAGCTTTAGTCGCAGAAGCCATGGCAGTTAGAAAAGTTTGCTCCTTGGCCTTGGCACAGAAATATGTTGCGGTCATCATTGAATCAAACTCTATATGTCTAATGGATGCTCTGTTGAAGGGGCAAACAGCCACCTTCAGAGGGATAGAACCAATTCAGATAGATATTTGGTCCTACGCTAAAAAAATCCCTCTGATTCAGTTCAACCACACTGGACGAATGGGAAACCAGGTCACACATCTAATAGCCTCTCAAGCAGTGAGAGGATTTATTCCACCAAACTGGACTGCTGCCCCCACATCACAAATTTTACAACAGATCAGGAAGAAAGTCCTGTAGGAGTTGGCTAACTTTTTGAGTTCTTCATAGTATTGTAATAGCTTCTGTTTACTTTTCCTTTAATAGAAATTGATATATTTTTGGACCCCCCCAAAAAAAAATAACAGCCCTGCTAACAACATAACCAGTGACTGAAAGAGAAATGAAACTGACAATATGCTAGCACCTAGCAATGTGTGCAACATCACTTACATGTCTCAAGGGACAGTTCAAGTGCCATCTTGTCAAGAAACAAGTGCTCTTTTCTCAAGTGATTTTCAGCCACCAAAATCTTTCTTTCAATAACAAATTATCATGGCTTTAAATTAAAATGTGACTCTGACCAAAAAAAAAATTAAAATGTGTCTAAAAGCAAAACCTTAACTTCTAAAGAAGATTGAACTGCTTATTTCCTAGCACAATGCACTTCAAGCACAATAACCAAGAAATGTGTAACTGAATATTAAAAAAAAAAAAATCAGAAGAAAAGAGAGGCGAAATATCATCTAAAGGAAAACAACAATGCTTCATTGCTGCATCAACTTGGTCTAATTTCTCATTATTTATTTTAGCACAAAAGGTAAGGGCTGTATTGAAATGCAGATGCAGTACTTGATTATTTTTTTCCTTCATTTTTTGTTTTGTAAAATGGCACTAAAAAGTGCTAGGAGGTGCAAACAAATGTACACAAGCAGTATACCAGAGAAAAACAGAATTAACAAACCAAAATCTCTACTAACTTTAAAGGGGATTTACAAACTTTAGAGGGATCTACAAATAGCCAAAAATGCTACCTACAACTACCCTCCAACGCTTTTCACAAAATCCACAACCGCTCGACATAGAACAAAAACTTCCCAGAGAAACGATAGTACAAAAGTCTTAAAAAGCCTCTCTTCAACTCCAAGGTCAGTACAACCAGAAAAAGGTCCAAGATCAATGCCTCCAACCCCACTATAGCCAAATGCACCACTATAGGCAAAGCAGCATTGCCACCCTCGTCTTAAGTATTAATCAAAATGAAGTAATACTCTTCCTAACAAACATAATTTTTGATTGCATCAGCAGTCATCTCAACATCTCATATTTAAGTGTCTGTATTGGAACCCACAATATATCGCTGATATCCAAGGTGTGTCAGTATACTACATGTATATGCTGCGGTTAAAATTACTCTGGTTAGGTCAGTTCATCCAGCATCCCTTCCTTAGAAATTCTCAAAATTTGGTTGGTTTAATTTTCAAGAACTCTTACAAGCTCAATATTGGAAAAATTAAAACTTCCTTGAAACTAGATTCCTTAAATTATTTTCACTAGATACATTAACAAAGCAATTTGTCCATCTTTCCTTTAATCAAATCATACTCAACTTAATTCAACAAAACCTTATTCCAACATTTTTAGGGTTGGATACATAAATCCGGTTGTGCCATTGTGCTAAATTACTAGAAGTTAAAACATTTTTTTACTATTTCATTTAGTATTAGTTTTTGTTTTCCTCTAGCCCTTCGATTTTCGACAATAGTTACCACATCATTCTTTATCACTAATATCGTACTAGGCAGTCTACAAATATGTTCAAACCATGTAAGTCAAGTCTTCCTTAATGTATCTTTTATACGTGTTACCTCTACTTTTCCACGAATAATATCATATTTTCATCACATATCTCTCTTAATATTCTCATTTTCGCCACATTCAATTTTTGAACGTTTTGTTTCTTAACTATCTAATACTCAATACTATAAAGTATAGCGAGTCTTATGATAGTTTTATCAAACTTTCTCTTTAACTTAAAGGGTATGCATCTATCATACAATACACCATATGTATTTTTGCATTTCGTCTATCCTACTTTGATTCTATATATAATATCATCACCAATTTCACATTCCCTCTAGATAATTGGCTCCAAATATTGAAAATATTCATTCAGCAGTATCTCTTGATTTTCAATTTTTACTACATTTTGATTTGGATTTCCACTTTTACGAAAATTACATTCCATATATACAATTGTAGTGCTACTTGTCTTAAATCTTTTCGATTCTAAAGCCGCTAGACCAATTTCTATTAATTTCTCCTTTACTCTCATCATTTAATTCTATATCATTCGCAAATAACATATACCATGGGAGCTTATCTTGAATGTGTTTAGTCAATTCATCCATAACCAAAAAAAATATGGATTTAAAGTAGAACTTTGATGTAAACCTATAGCAATTGAGAATTCATTAATCTCTCCCACCGTTGTTCTAACTAAACTCACCATATTTCTATAAATAATCAAATCATATTTCACACATATAACATTATCATATCACCTTATACGCTTTAGGGAAGAATAGTTTTCCAGGCTGTCCGGCATAATCAAAGCTAAGGTGACAAGCTAACTTTTGTGAAAAACTAAAATGTCTTCCACTGAGTCTAAACCATAGAGGTAAACCCACATTTTTAATGGGGCCCACATTGAAGAGTTTAGTCCCTCCAATGAGGTGTAACACACCTACTTCCTTCTCTAAAGCATCCCATTGAAAAGGGATTTCCTAGGAAAAGGTGGTTTTCGAGTGTAGGAGTAACTAATGTTTTTTCTGGAATCCTAATGCAAAATATCATGCAGCAGCTGTCAAAGAAGCAGTGCACTCCTATGAATAATTTATGTCACGTGAGGAAGTCGTCCTTAGTCCCCATGTGGAACTAGCCTTGGAAGAAACTATGATCTATTTTTAGGGCATACAAAAACCCAAACATAGGGTACCAGGCCTTTGCAAATGCCTCTCATAGTCATACCATGATTTGTACAATGAGAACCAAGAGTCATGTGGCCTAATGAGGACTCACCAAGGAGTTTGGACCTTTTTGCAATTCTGCAAGCTGACTTACCTGTTAAAGGAAAGAGACTAGATGTCGTTGACTTTAAAGCTAAATCAACATGGATATAACTCCTACAACTCAAAAACTCCTTTAATGGCAACATCCTTGTACCAATTTGGAATCCTTTTATGTCATGTGAGGCTTAGATGTTTTCATACGCATTAACCAAGTACAAACACTATTTTCTATTTGTGTTATAGAAATTAGACTAAAAATGATGGTTGGCACTTGCGGTGCAATTTGGGCAGACCAACCCAAACCCAGCCCAAAAAAATCAGTGCTTGGGTTGTGTATTTAAAACTTGGATTGGACTTGGGCCAAAAATCCTCAACCCAAATTGAATCTAGGTCATACCCGGGTTAAGACTTCGGGTTCATGGTGTCAACCCGAGCCCGAACCGAAAAAATAAAATCGGGTTCAACTTGAATTCAAACTACCATACTAAAATATATTTAATACTTATTTAAGCATTAAAAAACATTTATATAAAGGGCGACACAATAAAATAATGTGTTTTGAACACACTCATCAACAAGCTTTTATAGCACTAGAGGAAGTGCAAGCCCCCTTGTTGAATTGATGTAGAATGTTGAATAAAAAACAAAAGAAAATGTCTACGTTAGAATCCTACTTCGATTGGAAATAAAAAGGGTCTCTCTGTTCTCTTTTATATCAAGGCAAACTCAAAAAGACTTGTGTCTTTAATGGGCTTTATTGTCCATTGGGCCTATGAGCTTAATAAAAGAGTTAAAGGTGTTACTATTTAGGAACCCGAATCTAACCCAAAAATTGAATCCAATTTAATAATTCAGGTTTAACCCGAGCCCTAGTAGACAACACATGAGTTGAGGTCCTGTTCTGGTTGAGGGATTATAATTTGACTTGGGCTTGAGTTAGCCTCTCAACCCGCCCGAGTTACAGCCCTAGTTGACACTAATTTGCTCAGAGCATTTACTATATACCCTAAGCAATTCTATCCTGTCAAACATTGGTTCAACTCCACCAAGGAGGTCAACATATGCACTATTTCCCTCGTCCTCTCTTTCTCCAAGTTGCCTTGCATTCTCGTCCGTCACCTGATTCTTTTGGCGCTCTATATCATAACGCTCCATCCCTCCAGCATCATCCATTAGGTTAGATCTGACCTAACTGCAAATATTACCCTGAACACACTCAACATGATCTCTAGTTTTTCGCCTCTACTTTACAAGAAATTTTGATAAACATGTCATAGAATATTTGCTAGACCAAGCCAAATTACCTTATACCACCTAAAGCAATTGAATTCTGAAAAGTATTTGTGTAAGCAAATTTGGCACCAAAAAGAAAAAGGAGGAAAGCCCATCTCTCTATAAATTATATTAACTTATTTAAAGAATACCATTCTAGTATCCCTAAGTCAGTATCTCACACAATGAGAAATAAGGTGCTGTGCCTCTATACACCATATAGAGTGTAACCATTCTCTATACAGTGACTGTCTCGCATAACTGTATAAGTGCAGTCAAAGTAGTACTCAGTCTTGTTATTTGTTCTAGCAACAAATTAAATTCAAATATCCATCATCAACCTTTTTTCTTTTTTTCTTTTCTTTTTTTGGAAGCAAGACATCACTCTATTTAAAAAAATTGATCCAGCAAAAAACAACAACCACTCAAAATAACACCATTAACATGTTGCTACCAAGATCAAACTTGAAGATTTTCCTGAAAAAAAGCTCCTTGCAATCACGAACTACAATAGGTGTATTAAAGTGTGATGCAACTTCCAATGGACATGTCATTACAACTTTTTTTCAAAAAAGTACCCCATATTTACAATCCCACTGCTTTTGGAAGCTTGGGTTTGGGATCTTGGAATTGGAATTTGAAAAGTATTCGTTCAAATGATAACAAATTTGTCGCAACGTCCAGTTTCACAACATCAATTTACGCTGCCAAACACACATTCAATTTTATACAAGGTCACAGTGATTACAAACTATATGTTATTCACCTATCAGGATTAAAGCTTGACTTACAAATGGTATCTTAGAGGCTTTGTCATTCCACACAGCTAGCAGTCCAAGCATAGCGAAACAGCTCAAACCTCCACACAACCAACCCAATGCTTCATACTACAAAATAAATAGATGAAAGAGTAAGAAACCTTCAAAGTATCACAAAACATAAATCCCTGATAAATTCTCAAGGAATCTTCAAATTCCTAAGGATAATCAGTAAATAAAAAAGAAAAATTAACCTTCCCGACGGTATCGGCAATACGGTCAATACAAGGCTCCGGATATGCAGTCCCGTTGTCCCACATAAGTTCATCATTCACAGGCAACTGAATCCACCAAGAAGAAAGTAATTTTTCTAAGGTCTCTCCCATTTGTACCAAATGCAACGAAAAATAAACACAAACTACAAATACATTCACAGAATCCACATACATGTGTACACAAATGGACCTGATTTTAGAGTTTTGAGATAACAGAAGAAGGGAAAGTTCAAAAAAAGCTGATAAAATAATGGCTTACGGGTTTGTCAGGGACGATGTGTTTGCCAACAGGGAGGCCCATGCCAGAGCGGAGGCGGAGAGAGGAAGCGACAGAGCGGCAAACGACGCCGTTTGCGCCCATGATCTGCGATGCTACGTGGCTCAATCTTCCGGCCATTTTCTCCGATCAAGATTTTTCTGACGGAATCGAGTGTGACGGACGACGACGACGATGACCCTTTTTTGCTCTGTGAATTTAGGTTGCGTTCCACTTGATAGTTCAGGGAAAGTTTACTGTGGAGGCTATGGGATTAAGCCGAGGAATTAACTTGGAAACGACGCCGTAGAACTTGGATTCATAATTTTATTGGATTTTTACTCTTTTGTGTTACAATAAGTTATTTTGATTATTATACATTTTTAAGATGCAAATAATTAAGATACTATTAGTATAATAAAATTTAAATAAATTCATTATCTTATGATTTCTATATTCAAAATTAGGGTTGTCAAAATTCAACACGACACGGATTAAGTGGATTTTGATGATAAGCGGGTTGACACGCTAAACACGTTTAATAAACGGGTCGTGTTCGGGTGAGACCTATCAAACCGTTTATCACACGTTTATCCGTTTAAATAAAATTAATATAATAATAAATTAATAATTATTTTAAAAAATTAGCAAGCAAAAAAAAAGTAAAGAAATTAATAATAAAAAAAAAAGTAAAGTAGTAGTCAAAAACAAAAGAGATGAGATGAGGAGTATTCAAATAGAAAGGCAAATCAATGATTTTTGTTTTTGTCCCACATTGAAAATAAGGGGAGATGGGGAGGGTTAAGTTGCCTATAAAAAATAATAATCTCTTGTTTTTTTTTTTTTAAATCTTCAAATCTTATTTTTATGAAATTTGACTAAAAATTTCTTTTTTTGGAGGTAAATGCAATTGACAATAAAAAAAATGGAGTATTAAAATTTGTTAATATAATTTTTTAAAAATTAAACGGGCTAAACGAGTTGCGTCGTGTTACCCGTGTTCGTGTTAAATGTGTCGTGTATGAGTTTATATATTTTTAACCCGTCATCCGTTTAATCCGACACGTAACTGTTTAACCCGACACGTTTGACACCCCTATTCAAAATATATTCAAATTTATTAGTGGAATATATTTTTAGCTATAATACGAAGAATCAAATATATATTATAAACTTGTCAAACAATCAAAAATATATATTATAAACTTGTCAAACTATCAAAAATAAATAAATAAATAAATAAAATGGTGAATCATATTTTACATTCTGAAAATTTTTAATTTATACACTTAAAAATTAATTTTTGTATGTTGTCCCGTCAATGTTATCAAATTGTCAATGTGCTTGTTTTAGAGCTAACAGAAATTTTAATTTTTTTTTTGTTTCAGAAAAAATATATATATATATATGGTCCGTTTACATCCTGACTTATTGGGTAGCTTTTTCATCAATTTTTTTGGAAAAAAATAGTTTTTATCAGTACCAAAGAAAAGTTTTTAAAATGGAGTTTATTCAAAGGCTTCCATGAAAAAATCGATTTTTCCATAAATCCTTCAAACGGTTTCAAGAATTTTTTAATTCTTACTTTTTTATTTAATTTTTCAAACATTTGTTTAGCAGTCAAAAAAGCCAATTTCAAACTGGCCTAATGGGATCTTCACACTAATTTTCATCAATATTACTACTCGCGACTATGAGTTTGATAGAAACATTAACAGAAGGTTTGTGAGAAGATCACAAAATAACTATTTTATAACATTGAGAGTGTAATATGAAACTTTGAGGGTATTAATTAACAATTTTAAAATATTTAGGGTGTTAAATGCGAGTCCCCCAAATATAAAATGTGTACGGTGAAGATTAGCGCTATGGATCACCCAGTGTACGGCAAGTATCATAGTCGTACACACGGCGGATCACTGCTAATTCACACGCAATAAGCGAGAAGATGTCACACAGACGCACGCTGACAGAGGCCTGAACGGCTGAACCAATGGAAGCACTGGCGGAGCTAGAGAGAGTCCAAACCCGAATCCTCCAACGAATAGCAGGCCTAGAACTCTCTCATCTGCCCCAGCACTTCTCTCACTCCCTCTCTCTCTCCTCACCCACCGGAAACTTCAAAAACGCCGACGACTCGAATTCCATCACCGAAGCACGACTCTCCGCCATCCTTCACGCCAATGACGTCCGAGACTTCTTATTCAAGCGAGTCCCCTCCGATTACTACGATTCGCCTTTCGAAGCCCGCCGTGACGTCCTTGGTGCCCATTCCATTGATCACCTTTGCAAAAGCATTGTCTTGGTACATCCAATCTCACTTTCCTTTGTTCCTCAGCATTTTAATAATGAACACACTTATGTAAGTTAGGTGTATTTCAAGTCTATATAATTTCGCATTGACCACAGAATTTGTGAGTATTGTTGTATAAATTTCCTATTTGCATGATTGCCAGGCTTTCTGATGTAATTAGCTTTTTTATGTTTATGGGATGTGTTTGTAGTATATGTATGTACATAAGCAAATTATGTATGGTAAGGGCTTTTCAAGTCTGCATATCTAGAGCACTAACCTAGAGTTGGAGAGTTTGATTGAATGAGTTCTCGATATTCGTGATTGTGCGACTGAATAATTTAATCATGTGTCTAGTGTTTAAGGGATTTTCAAGAGAGTAAGATGGAATGTAGTTTGGGGAAAAGTTCTTTTATTGCAGAGCATGGACACATTATACATGGAGCTTAATTTCAGGTTAAATTGGGGGTTTGAGTTGAGGAACTAGTGCGAATGGATCATGGATGAATAATATCATTGCGTGCGAGCTACTAAACTGAACACATACAATGACATACTTATGTATAAGCCATAGAAAAAAGTTCAACAACATTTGCAGTTATAATAATAATGCTATTGGACCATATTACACACTATTAATTCAGGTTACCAGGTTAGATTATTAGGCCCCAATAGTATTTTTCAGTATTGGTAGGCGAGTGACTTGAAAAAAATGACAATTTTTTATACTATTGAACTGATGATGTACTGATTATTGATATCCGAATTCCGAAAAATTGGTATGTTTGTTGTCTTTGGTTGTAAACGGGGAGTCAGTCAACATTGTTGCTTATAGAGGTAGAGTTGGTTAAATGAAGTGGAGAAATTCCTTAGAGTCTCTATGAGGTGTACGTATTCTAAACAAAAAGTTTCATAGGGTAGGGATGAGGCCTTTTTTATATATCCTGTAGAATGTCAAAATCCATTTCAATCAATGTATGCAGTTGAAACATGGCCACGAAGAGGAATTAGTGGAAAACAAGAAAATGGGATATGGAAAAGTTAGTTTGTCGAAGTTGACGGTAGAAGTAATGGAGAAACAATGGTCAAATGTAGTTCATTAAAATGTCTCTTGGCATGTGAAATGAAAATAACATGTGTATTAGTAAGAAGAGATGTAGCTTAAATTTATTGTACTGTGGGAAAAAGAGGGAGGCTAAGTGTTGATAAAGGTTCTCAATGGATATTTGCATAATTTACTTGAAGCGTTTCAATGGGACAAGGTTTTCCTGAGTTTGATTTAGTTTTCCTACCCCTTTTATGTGGGCCAATACCCAGCAGAAATGGAAATACGAAGAAATTGCATAAGTGCACATGAGCAACTTGAGGGCTGTGGGAATAATTGGTTTGAAAAGAATTGAGTTTATTCAAAAATATAATATATAAAATACTCGCCTTGTTTTGGAGTCATGCCAATATAGAAGTTGCATAACACCAGTTATTAAATATGGGAATTATATTTGATCTTTTATTGGCTTCTTGGTTCCTCTATGGGTGACAATCTCACCTGCTAAGTTATGTGAGTTTTAATCGGAATGGAATACATTCAACCTCTTACTTGCGGGTTAGGTGCAATTGGGATTCATCTTGTCATGTATCTTACAAATGACAAACATAAAGAGATGATGATGAGCTGCTGTTAATTTTGTTATGTTTAAAATTATGGTCCATCCAACTATTTCCATATATGCATCTTGTCATCAGAATTTCAAGAAACAAGAGAAGCTATTAAATCTTTACATCCTGACCCAAATTCTTCTCGTTCAACCCAGGTGAATACTCAAGCGATGTCAACTGTGACTGATTGTAGTGAGCGTAACAATTCAAAGTATTATGTTGTTGTTGTTCAGGTACCTTTTATTGTTAATTATTATATGTTTTTCACTTTGATTTTTTTTGTAGACAGCGTACAATGTGCTTGACACTTAAAACTGTCTTTTGGTTGGACAATTTATTCATTGCAGTATACTGCTCGATTTAATGCTGAGACAGTGAAGAGCTTTCTCTATGCGCTCAACGATGGCAAGATACCAAAAAAGAAATTCAACTGTGAGTTGTAGTCTTCTGAAAGTGGAAGAAAATTTCAAAAATTATTAGTAGTAGGTCCTGTTATTAAAATTTCCCTTTGAATGGGAATAGTTGTATTCTTCTTGTGCATATGCAGATCTTTAAGAACTTGGGAGTGCATACCTAATTTGCATATAGATTTGTATATTCTGTTAGAAAAGAGAATATTGCATTTGTTAAAAACAAAGACATCTTTGGTTGTGTTAACATCTTATTTGTGTTTAATATTGGAGGAGATAAGAGATGAAAGCAAAATAAAATTGCTCTTTGGTCATACATTCATAGTTGTCAAATTGCGATTCGTATCGTGAATCGAAATCGAAAATTTGAGAATCATGAATCGTAAGATTCAATACAAAATTTGAACAAAAATAAAAAAATAATACTACATATTTAAAATAAAAAAAATATTAAATATTGAATATTGAACATTATTGCATTCCAAAAATAATTAATTGACATAATCACGTCGTCTAAATGGAAAGACTTTAGCCTTTTATTTCATTTTCATCTTTTGCTTAACTATTTTTCAATTTAACAACTTGACAAAGAAGAAATTCATTAAAGAATCATGGCTATTCAAGAACCAACATAGTGACACTTAGTATAGATTAGGTTACAAACATGAATGAAAAAAGAATAAATAAAAAAATTGATTAGGAGAAAACATACAAGCCAATATTTTGAAAAAAAAAATTAGAACCTAATAAACTATCCATAAAAGAATTGAGAGCAAAAATCAACCAATGATGCAAGAGCGTTAGCCGTGACCTTTAATTTTAGATAATACAAGGTGAGTTTTAAACTACGTCAGAGAAAGAACGAGCAAAGAAGTTGAGTTTTTATTAGGGCGTGGGTTCCTCGGTAAATAAAACGACATCAACTATTTAGCGGACAAAATGACGTCGTTTTGACAAAAAATTGGGATTTAAAAAAAAGTAATTGAATCGTGTGATTTGTGAGATACAAATCGAATCGTACGATTCAGGTGCGATTCAACTCTAAAACGATTCTCATATAAGATACAAATGGTTTTGTATTTGTATCGAACCAAATCGTGAATCGTACAACTTTGATAACTATGCATACATTTCAATGTAACTAGATTGAATTGTGGAGAAAACAAACAAGTAACACAAAAAGCTTTAGATGATTCCCAGTATATGTTACCTATAAAAAAACAAAAAATATTATCTGATTCCAATAATTAAACTTATGGGGGTGTAACCTCAGACTGTCTGTTATTCCATTCTGATACTTCTATTGGATGCACCAAAGGTATTTCAGTGTTGCTGCCTTAACCTTTGCTATAATCATATTTGTTTTTAAAATCTAAAGAAATGATGATATTATCCAATGACTATGTAATATTTGATTTATCTATTGTGAAGATGGTAAGACTTGATACGGTTTATGCAGTGAGGCTTGCTCCTGAGGAGACATCAGTAAAGTTGACTGGTTATGAGCACAATGGGGTAACATGCATTGGCATGAAAACAGATATTCCGGTAATTACTGTGTTCAACAATTTACAAAGTCTTTTCTGACACCCTTCACAAAGAAATAATAAAAAAATTTACCTAGCACTTTAAACAAGTCCATTTTGCTCACTTCCTTTTTTCTTGCATGTATTACAGCTGCATTGTGTCCTTTCTTCATGTGCATGTACTCATAATGACCAAACCCAAGGTGGTCTACTTCGTCTTCTCTGTTATGCTTCTATCTTTTCAACATGCCAGAGAAAGTTAGATCTTACAATAGGCCCTTTATTGAGTACACGTGAAGATTATCTATGTTTTCCAGACATTACCATCATAATGTTTTCTGCTGCCTGATATAGCCAGAACCAATAGGGCCACTAGGTTAGATAAGGTCTGATGCTTGTCCCTGGTGGTTATGTACGATTATGCAGACTGCAGAGATCGGCCATCCTGATTCTTTTTATGCGTAATAGAGTTCTCTCATCAGTTGATGTGTGCATCATCCCATGACACCACCCCTTTTCATGGACTGAGTCCAGAGTCCTGCCAACCGTTTTGCCAGCTATAGGGTTGGCCACTGTCCTCAACATCATACCTGTCAAAATATTAGCCTTAGAACTGAAGGTTAGAATGTTAAGTGAGTTCTGGGATCTAACATGGTGGTCCACTGTAGTGAACGATTGGATATATGATGCTCTCCGACATCTGCAGAATTGGGTTAGAGTTCCCTTTTACTTACAATATCACTGTTTCTTGGAATATACAGTAGCTATGGGTTTTGAATATCTCCAGTGTCTTAGAATGATAAGAGTATTCAGGTTAATGTTGTTTGTTGAATATTACATCTTTTGAGTTAGTTGCATGTACTTATTGTCACTTTGAGTGCTGCAGACTTGTGTTGCATTAAAGATCCCAACGCAAAATACTAACAAGTGGATGTGAAAATTCAGCTGGTGCCAAAGTTGAAATAAATTTGCAAAAAATCAATGCTTCAGAAATAGCATGCGTGCACTTGTATATAGTGTCAGAATGAGTCGAATATTCATACCCCTAAACGATTGAATGTCAGCTTATAAAGTGTTTAAATAGTATGCTGACATCATGAAATCCTCGTGCACGAGTGTGCGACTGTTTGTCTCCAATCTCCATGGATGTTTGGGGTGATACTAATGAGAAAATACTTCGTAAAGTATTTTGACTGTGCAGAAGCCTTCTCTGTGCAATCTAGCATGCAGGTGTAGAGGACAGATACTGATGTATTCATGCATTGAAAGTACTGTTAATTCATGAATAAGAGAGAATGAATATTCTTATTTCTCAACTAGGAAATGTAACTCCATCGCAGCATAGAAAGACAGAAATCAGGCATTTGATGTTCCTTCATGTTAATAGATAGAAGTGAAACATTGTCCAGGTAGCAATTATTGTTGGAAAAGGCCAAACAGCTGAAGAGCATAGAAAATTTTCAGGTTCCATCTTGATCAATAGCCCACCGCATGTCTTTGGCTGAATTGAAAACATGATAGGGCAACAAAATGGGATTGATGATCTGGGTGCCATTAGTCACACTCTACTTATTTTAGTGTAAAATTATCCACATTCATGCATGTATCCATATTTTTTATGTTATGAGACACGATTATATTGCACATTGTACAATAGTATTGCACTATTAACCGGGAAATTATGGACTTATTACCAGGTGATTTTGGACGAAGCAATCGTAAAGCTTAATCCTGACTTCTTCTGGTTGGGAGGTGGGGAAATTGATCTGAAAATGGGGATCAGAACCTCTGAATTCATTAACTTCGTAAAACCTTTCATTGTCAACTGTAGTGGTATTTGATTGCTCCAGGTGGAATGATGAATCAACTATAGTAGACAGCACCAGACAAGACTGCCTGTTGAGACTATGATTTGCGCGGGGACAAGTCAGCCTGGTACTGCTAACAAATGCTGATATGATGCATCTTTGCACCTGTTTGGCTTCCTGGTTTGGCTTTAGTATTCTTTGGGCTGTGAATTTTGCTTATCCTTGTTATTTTTCGTGGTAGCCGCTGAATTGGCCGGAATAAAGTGCCTGTGATAGATTGTCTCATTTATGGACAAGAAATTACAATTTAGATCTTTAATTGCTCTGTCTCAATCGTTTCTGATCTTTTGACTTGTGACCCAAAAAAGAAAAAAAAAAAAAAAACACACACACACACACACAAAAAAATCGTTTTTGTTCATTGGTGATTTTAGTGAATGTATGAATTGGTTTCTCTACGGTTATAGATTTTATTTATTGTTTAGAGTTTGAAAATGCTTAGGAGATTCGGATTATCTCCACCACATTTTTCCTCAATTTTTCTCTTCAACATGGGTGATTGAAGGATTGTCCAAATTAATTTCTGTAATACGATAAGAGCCAAATTAACTATGTCCCCATATTCGATTGGATCATCCAATACTCTTCTGTTCACTTTTTTCACTATTAAATAATCGACTATGTAGTCATTCAAAGTAGATGATGTAGCATTGAATGAAATTAAAGAAAAGTATGTTAGAATCAAGTCTATTACATCTATGGTTCTATTTCAATTAAAATTCTCTAATGTGCCGTCCCATATAGACACTAGACTAAAATTTATAGCTGATTAGATGCATTTTGGATTGGTTTTATTGTAGGCATATATAGTTATGTGACCACCGTCTGTCCAAAGTACACGGTGAGACTTTAATTTTGGTTATGACGTAGGTGCGGTGAGATTTCTTACATATAGTTGTGTATATAAAGGGGCAATAACGGCCTAGTCTCATTCAAGAAGACACCAACCAACACAATTACAACCATTGCAACACATATATACATATAAGACCCACACATTCATGTCTATAATTCTTTATTCACATCACATTTAATACAAACTTACACAAAATGTAGCCCTAAAGGAGTATCATCCACCATCACTTTCACTAGCTACAACTTGTCACATGTAGTAAACAGAACACCCCAACAAACTATGTATAAGGCCTAGTTTGGATGACAATAATCGGGACAAAGAATAAGATTTTTTTCCCATGGGCGTTTCATTTTTATCCGTAGGAATGAAATTTCATTCTTGCTCTTATTCTTGCCATATTGGGCCTATATCCAGTTCTTATTATAAATTATTCATATTATTTTAACTAAATAAACACCCTATAATTGATGTTCTCTTGCATTAAAATAATATTCAACTATAATCACACTATTATAGCGAAAAAAAAAGGAGAAAAAATGGAAAGGAAAATGATGAGGAATGATTATCCATAATCTAGGGTTCTCTGTTGTGAATGGGTGGTTTGCGATGGGGTTGTGCATAGTCCATCACTACTATGTCTTCGACAATGTCGTTTTCTTTTGAATCCATAGTTTCCTCGGTATCATGTGGCAGAGATCCCAGTATCGATCGTGCTTTTCTCTTCCATCCCTACACAATGTTACATTACCATGAATACCACAAGTAAACAGTCGTGTAACAACAACACCACATTATCAATAACACATTTTATTATTAGACGGTGATATCAAGCGTCATAAGTATTGTGATATCGCCCCAAAAAAAAAAATTGATCTTTAATGGTTATTAGCATGTTGATAGTATATTAAAGGCATACACCATGAAAAGATGGTGGCAGACCAAAGAGCAGGAATGAAGATGCTGAAGCAGGCTCCTATGGAACTAACCAGCTTGCTGCTAGCAGACATGATGGGGATGGCCTTTGAGTGACCACCCCCAATGGTTGTTTCTTCGATTTTCTCAAATGATGTGGTAGTTGATGCGATAAGTAAAATTTAAATTTTAAATAAATAAAAATGAGACAAAAAAAACATCATTATTATATTTGACTTTGTTTTTTGTCCTATTTTTTTATCAGTGTCAAAACAACAAAAAAAATACACCATGCATGCATGAATGCCGTCAAGACTCTCTTCACATTTAACTATGAGTAATGATATTGAGACTAATAGTTTTTTGACTTAATGATGCGTTAACGAGTATAGTCTAGTACGATTACTGTATAATGGTTGGAATTTGTATTGGAACATGTCAATCAGACATGTAGATGTGGGCAGTAAGTCGTTGTTTATAACACCCCATCAGCTACACAAACCACTCTGAAAAAAAAAAAAAAAAGAAAGAAAACCATTATTTACCTCTTCTTTGACTGTCTCTTGCAAATCCACTGTAGAATATGCTAACATGATCTCATTTCCTGCAAGTCACGCAGCCATGAAACTCATGTCACAGAAAAGAATAAAGTGGGATAAAAATGAAAAAGAAACAAAGAAGGAACAACTCAATAACAGTGATAAGTCCAAAGATAACATAAGAAATTCAGGTATAGGTTCAATGATACTTGTACTAAATATAAAGAAACTCATGTCACAGGTATATCAGTTGCAATATATATGCAGCAGCAGCCAACTAAGATTGTAGGGTTATGAAGTAGGTTATTATTTTCATCTTGAAAGAAAAAGACTTTTGAGTTTTGAGCTATGTTGTGTAAAGAATTAGTATGTTGTATATTGAGAGATCAAAAACATGAAGAAAAGGAAGATGGAAGAGGCGTGCACTTGCGAAGGGGTTTTGTTTAAGTAATTTCTCCACACAAGGTTAGGCTGCTTTTATATAATCCTCTTCAAATACTATAATAGCGAGAGCCTCGTGTCCCTCTATTCATCTAACTCATGACTAACATGTCTATGCTCTTCTTCTAAACAACTATTGATTGTGATACTAACAACAATGAACCGTTTAGGAGGCGGCGCAAAAGAAACCAAAACAATTTGTGTGATTTGAGACCTTTAATGTCTCTGTCTTCCTTTCCTAGGGCCTTAAAGTCCTTTTGCTTCATAGTATCTGCACCACCCCAGCTCTCAAAGGTTCTTATTTCATCATTTTCAGCTTTCAGTGCATCCTGTATTCGAAGTTCGTCGGAAATGGAAGCCTTGAACTTTAATGGAATTATACTCTCCTCAGTTTCTTCCTTCTGTACTTCCTGCACCAAACCCTAAAATCAGACCAGGACCCATATAAAAATATCAGACCTAAACCACATCTATATGTCAAAAATAAAATACCAACTTTGCGCTAACCTTAACAAAAAACTGAACTTTTATGCCAGTTCCTTTATCCACAACTCCTAGATGTCTGGCATTGCATGCATGCAGAGAAAGAAACATAAGAAGATATACAAGTGAAGACATATTGAGAGATGTATCTCTGAATGCCCAGGTTGAGGTCAGAGGATAACTGCAAGGTTTTTATGTGAGTATTGAGTGTCAAGTTTAGAGTATTTGTACTGAGAAGATAAAGTGATGCATTAAATGCAGGGTTTGTAGAAGGTGGAAGTAGTTGTTTCAGAGAACATGCAGGTGCTTGGGCGATGAACCTTGATAATAAAATTGAAGATATTGGAGGTCTTCTCTGTCCCCTCTTCTCATCACTTTTAATCAAAACTGGGGCCGGATGAGAGAGAGAAACATTATAGAGCAACGTCGATGCATGAAAATGTATACGAAGGTTTGATATACAAAACATATTGATATTCTAATAAGTAAGAGACTTGATCCCCCAACCATTTAAGGTACAACTTTTATAAAATATTGAATTAAGCTCGTAACCAATAGTTGACAGTGGATGATGTATTCCACCTAGTATATAAACAAAATTTGGAGGTATCTAATCTCTCGATATAAGATGGAAGTTCTTTTAAAGGTGTGAAAACAAATGTTGGAACCCACATGCATGGGAAAAAAAAAAAAGGAATAAGTCATCTCGCATTGATTGCGCAAAGAAAAGAATGGAGGCTTAATATATGAAGTTTGGAATAAATGACTCTGAGCTTGAGCTTAAACCTTTTAGTTTAAATTTGAATTCATCTTATGCATAACTTCAGATTCTAACCATGACTATAAAGCTCTCTCTCACACAGAGTTTGAAACAAATCACTATGAGCTTGACGAGCGTGAACTTTTGGTTCAAATTTGAAGCCAATTTAATGAATTTATACATAAGCTCACATTCTAACAACGAAAATAAAGCGTGTGCGCAGCGAGAGAGAGAGAGAGAGAGAGAGTCATTTGAGGCAACCCGAGTTGATCTTGAGTTCCAACCATGCAGATTGCTAATTAGTCCAAACCGGATTGTGAACATTGGTTAATTCCATAAAGATTTATAATGCTTAATCATTGTCCCAACCCAATAACTAATAGCTCCGACAGATTTGCCTTCACTCTGTTCCAAATAAATTTATTGTTATAATTATGTAAACTAGCTCCTCCTCCTCCATAGGCTTCTGCCGCCCTCTGCTTGTTAGCTCCGATCCAAACTTTCACTTTTATCAGTCACCTACATTTTTGGGCACTTAAAAAGATATTTCGAAGACTCACAATCTTTAGTTGATAATTTATTTGAACGAAACGTAAAATACAAGTAAAAGAGTGACAATTTATTTGTTCTGAATTTTGCACTTGGGTCAATAATGATACGAGTCGTTAACACGATGGGAAGTTAAAAAGTTTGGATCTTCTTTGAACTACCTATTTCGTAAACGAGTGTAACCGACACAATATGATTAATAAACGAATCAAGTACGAGTGAAATCAATCAAAAAAAAAATATACGATACATCGTTTATATACCAGTTATACAAGATAAAAATCCGATATAACATGAATTATAAACAAATCGAATATAAGTTGAATATTTTTTGAAACAAACTCGTTGCACCCGCCAGGATTGATGGGCTAGTTAATTCGTGAATAGGTACCTAGTAGCCAGTGGTATTGTAAAAACCATAACTGAGGCATGTGGCACAATCTCTGTGAGAATCATGTGGAATTTGCAAGCATTTATCATTGATAAGGGTAGGGTGCCACTCTTCTAAACAGCCCGGGCCTACATGGAGTGGGGAGGTAGGGACTGGAGAGGAGAGAGAAGATGGGGAGGAGAGACAAAGTTGCATGGTGGAACCGCCAGTTGCACCACCAGTACAGGACATGGGGGCCGTGGAAACCCCACCGTCGGTACCCATCATGCATGCCACGTGGCATGTACTCCATGTGCCATTGCCATGTGAGATCTATATGGCCACGTTGAACAATGAGCACCACCATTGTTGGTCCTCCAAGCACAAGGATCTGTGTCAAATGGCACTGTGATTTCAATCTGTGTTGAACTGTTTTTTGGGGTAGTCATATATACTTGGAGCATGAAGGGACAAACTTGGTTTTCATATACCGGTTGATTGTGATGCCAAAGTTCATTTGATCAAGCATCTCACCTAATACTCTCAACTAATTATGTGATTGATAGTATTTCATATTAACATGATTGCAAGTAGGCTTAACAATCGTATCCGATGAAACGTGTTCACGTTAAAAAAAATTTCATTCATATTTTATTCGTTTATATAAACAAGTCTATCTATCACACTCGTACATAACTCATTTAGTAGATGAGTTATCTAGCACAACCCGTGTGTCATATACTAAATAAGAGAATGAGTTAGAACTTTTCGAGCCTACACAAAAAATCACCAACTCGTTATACATTCTATATATTTGACTTATTTATTATAACAATAAACCATGACTTAGCAAAAAAGTGTGTACACAACAACGAATGTGAAAGAAATCACAATTCTTGAGGTCAAGTAGAGGATGAGATACCTAATTTTTTTTTTTAAGGAATTTATAATGACATTGTTAACTGATTAAACACAAAACCGATTCGTTTATTTCACACGTCTGCTAAGTTAATCCATTAACCACCTGAACTCATTAAGATTATACTAAAACCTGTTAAATTCGTGTCGATTTCATGTGTCTAAAATTGTCAGGCCTAATTGCAAGTTGCGAGTTTGAGAAGGCAAAAGTCGAGTCAATCACATTCTATTGAGCAAGATTGAGATTGTCTTCTCTTATCTAACTTATTAGAGTCGAATGGACTCGAAATAGTCTTCAAGAAGAAGCAAAACTAGGCATTTTTTCATCAATGTTGCCTCGGTCGAGACTCATCCATGCCCAATCCCAATGGGATCCTCTAGCTTTATGATCCACCCGCCTTTACTGGACCGATCCTATCCTCTTGGACGCCTCGGAAATAGTTTTTTTTCTTTCAAGAGCCGACTTTTTGTCAATAAATAGAACAAAGTGAACATAGTTTGCTTTATACTTATCAATGATTCTGCTACTGTTCCTCCTTCACAGAAGATATAATCTCAAGAAGCCTATCTTTCTTTTACCAAAATAATAAAAAATAAAAAAACCTAAAGGACAATCACTTTTCTCTTATAAGAATAAGATTGTCTGTCACATATTTCCCTCATACATTCCTATAAGCAAGATGCATGGATTAAACTTGATGGTTCCTTTTGATGAAAAGATTGTTGTCTCCCCATTCCTCTGTTTTAAGCTCTAAATATTTAAATCCAATGGCCACACACACACATACATACATATACAGCCTGTATTTGATATTGAACAATTACCTACTACTGCACAAATTAATCAGGATTTCTGGGAGCAATTATTGAAATATTTTATAGCAATGAATAGTCACTGAACCAAGACACAAGCAATCTCATGTCATCCAAAAGTAATTATTCTGCTCTCTCTCTCTCATGTATATAATTCTTGGGTCCTAGGAAAATTGAGGCACTGTGGCACATCACACCTGAATGATTTCGTATTGTTTTCAAATGACTGATTAAACTTCATTTCAAAAAAAAAAAAACACCATATTCCAAGCTCAATTTTTTTTCCAATGATTTCACGAGTCTACAATGAAAGTCAGGTTGGGTTTCCTACCCCTTATCTCCTAAAAAAACAGATCAAGGATTTAAACCTCGTAAAAAATACCTTCGTAGAAAGACCAAGCTTTTTTTCAAATCCAAGACTTTATTTAGATCCTCACACTCATTTAATGACTCCTATAATATAACTCAATACTTTTTCTTTTTTTAGTTCAACGATCAGCGATGTTCAGATTAGTTTACGCGCACCTCAACTAATTCTTTCCTCGATCCACTCAAACACAGGTCATCCACGCCAGGACTGAGATATTCATGAAGAATAAATCCCTCAATTCTCATGACCTGACCCCAAAAAAATGTCAAGATTCAAATTCAAAATATCTAAATTTACAACTTGTCTCTGTTACCACTTAAACTACCTTATTAGCCGAATAAACCAATTTGAAGCCTTTTGAATTCAGGGCCTCACCATGTTAGCATACCTCAAAATCGAATCAACAAACAATAGAATAAATCACGATATGCACATTAAGATAGGGGATACATAAGCCCTAAGGGTTGGATTTGAATATTTTCTTGGTTAATTTCTTAGTGTTTAAATGCCATAAATCAGTTTCATTGTCACACAGATTCTTCAACAATATGGAAATGATAGGCAACTAACCCCATTTTTGAGCGCACAAATTCTCTAACATTGAATCCGCATTGCATCACTTAGACAGATGAAAACTTGGCATCGCTTCACCTGTGACAAACTAACGACAGAAACTTGCAAAAAACCGAAACAACATAATTAAGAACATCGGAGGGAAATCATTATTATAGCATTTGCCAGGACATTTGGGCAATGTAAATAGGTTTCAGCAACTATATACAAGATATAGGCTGTACATTATATCACCAGTAGTAAGGTGTTTATGAAACAATAATGAAAATATCGACATTAAGGCATTGAAGACAGAGATGGTGAAAACAGACTTATCGGTGTAAATGAAACAATGCAATTGTCTGTATCATCAAAAGCTACTTTCAGATCTGTTCCCCAAATGTGTTCTCTCCACTATAGGTAACATATAGGAAACCATCTTCGTCCTTTTTATCATCGTATATAGCAGACATAATTGCCCCTACAAAAGCCATAAAGAGCAGAGCACGGAGGTTCATTCACAAACGGGCCAAGTAGCTTCACAGAACTAGATGAACCGACAGACCAAACTAGAGTAATAACTGATCAAAGAAAACAGAATTATTTGTCAGATTAAGGCATAACAAAACAGGATTGCAAGGCCAACCTGTTGGTGGCAAGGCATTGTCCACAAATATGAAAATTGCCTTCTCCGCACTCAGTTTGATCCTTTTCCGAATCACATAGACAAATTGTCCTACTGTCAAGTCAGCTGGAACAAGGTACCTGTAATTTTTTAATTTAGGTTAAAGAAAGAATATCTCTACTATTTGACTTGCAATCACTGATGTGAAGTAATTCAAAAAGCTGAATCCAAATTATCGATCAAGGGACTAATCCACATTCCATGAAGGGACCATAAGCTAAAAACAACCCTTATCTTAATATATACATGAAGGGTAAAAAGGTATGGTGGGCATAATTTTTTCAGTGTCTCATGCACGAGTTTCTAGCTAGAAACGTAAATGTTGTCACAATCAAGAAATCATTCGCAATGTGAATGTGAGAGGAGGAGAAAGAGAGCCTGCGTCATGACTGCCACCGTTTGTTTAACGGTTACTATCACTGAATCATAAATGCATTCGAAAAAACCAAAGAGTTTGTAAATAAGAGTTTGTAAGCCGAGAGAGAGAGAGAGAGAGAGAGAGAGAGAGAGATTTTCAATTGTATGAATAGCAAATCTTAATATTATTTAGGACCATCATCACTCCAAGCAGGGATAGAACCAGGAGTTTATTCTTGGGGGGGCCCAAGCGTTATATGTAGAAATTCATGTCAGTCCTGATAATTATAAGCAATAGTCTATAAAACTATAACAATCGAAGAATATAATATAACCTGAAATACTTCAAAAATAATTGAACAAAAGCACTAATTTTTTAACAATTAACCCTCATTATTTTATCAGTGGTACTCAACGTTCTTTTTATCACAAAATTCATTTATAATTCAATCTATGCTAAAAAATTTAGCAACTTCCTTTTATATATATATATAATCAAAAAGTCTTCAAGAAAATCATCTACCATCTTATTGCAAAGTCTAGTTTTGACAATGCTCATGGCTGAAAAACAAATAATTGATTAGAGAAGAAAAGAAATGGCTTGATATTTTATTTTTCAACCCACGTCTTAACTCAGGCTGAATTTTCTTTTTCTTTGTTCTACGTCTTTTTCCTCTATTGTTCTTAAGCTTGGCAGTTTAGTGCTTCCTTTGGTTTGCTTTTGTTTCCTAAGTTAGATAGCGCTCTTGTATTGGGTATGAAGTTGTTTAAGTCTTATATTATTCTTATAGTTTCAACCGAGATTTTTGTTTTAAATGGAGAGAGTTTTTGTAGTTTAGTATAACAAAAATTCTAAAGAAATTTGGTTAAGACCTAAAGTTATAATATTTTAATACTGTCACACTTGCCAAAAGATTGTAATATTTTACAACCAATAGACTACTTTGTTAAGAAATTAAAGCATCCGTGGAATAAGGCTTTGGGATAGGGGACTAGTACAATAAGAGTTCAAGTAGGATACCTATAGGTGTTGTAGAAAGTATTGGGGAGGGTGGGAGGTGGCATGGCCCCCCTAGGCCATTGAATGGTTCCATCCAAGAGCAGCCATAGATTAGGCCAGCTAATTCGTTCCAAATAATATTATTGCTATCAAAAGGATTAAGGAGCGCATTTTTTTTTTTTTGGGGGGGGGGGGAGAGATTTAAAAAAATATTAAAACACGCATAAGATTTTTTAAGAGAAACAGAAAAATTGAGTGGGAGCAATTCACCATGTCGCTCTGCCACTGGTTGTGTTACTGTACTCTTCAGAGGACATAATAATTATGGTGGAATTTCATTGGAATTCCAAGATCCTTCAATTACAAAAATGGTATAGAATGGTCATGCTAGAAGGATTCCATGCATTAATAATCTTATAAACCAAGGTTTTTCACATCATAAATGATCTCTTAAAGCTAGAACAAAGTTTTGTGCATACACAAATCTGTGGAGTGTCCTTAATCACTAGAATCTGAACAAGCCATGCTATATCATGAGAATGTGGGACGTAAACAGGACCACAAACCATAGAATAGAGAGCACATTATTGCAACAGAACAATGCTTACTTTTTCTTATCAATGTTAGGAATATCACTTCTCTCCGCCTTCTCCACGATCACCTTGAAATCACGAAAGCAGGTTTATGTGAAAGTTAGACAAGGAACCCAAAAGTATTTTCAACAAATACATAAAGCAATTATGTACTTATGGAGCATAACTGAGACAAAATGATCCTTCATCAAGCTTATGCAGGATAAGATCAATCCTTGAAACAATTAAAACAGTTGAGACTATAATCTAAGACCTGAAATCTGCAGGATTATATAAATGACAATGAGTAAAAGAATAATAAAATGATGACAAAACATCAGATGGTATCCTCTACTGATTACCCAAATTTTCTGGAAAATAGTAGGAAACTTCAGCAAAAACTTGAGGATCCAAATCATGAATGCAGTGAATATTTAACTCCACTTGAATCCAATGGTTGAAATTATTCTCTACCAGTTGGTGCTACAAGTAAAGTGACCTTAGAACCCCAAGTTGATGTTTTGAACTGATGACAAATTATATAGTGCTTTGGTTTCTATCTTACACCTAATTCTCTCTCTCTCGATAAGAAACAACAATTTTATTGATAAAGAAAGGAAAAAATTACAAAAACAATCATAGGTGGACAAGTAATCCACCCCACTATTGGTTGCCAACCTTCATCAAAAAAGACAAATAATACAAAAAATATAAAGAGTAAAAAAATCAAAAATACAATCTACAAGAAGCTTTCCAACTTGCAATAATGATAAAAAAAAAAAAAAGGAATTGTTTCAAACTCCTTGGTCGTAGATGCCCATAATGAAGCCAAAAAAATATAACCAGTCCCATAAACATTCCACTTCTTCCATCTCTCTCTCTCTCTCTCTCAATTTTTCCCTAATATGCTTACAAACCATTATATATGGCCCATTCATAAGTACTGTTTTTTATTTGGGATAGCAATAATTATGTGCCACATTTGAGAAAAAATCTTAATTCAGCAGATTAATAAATTCACAAGCAACTACCAAGAAGACCACTTGTTTTACTCAGAACTAAATCTAATGTCAACCTCTATTCATGACACATCCAGCCAAAAGGTAAGTTGTAGTTAGAAGCTTTAGCTTTACACAGCTTTTCCAGATTCAAAAACATATAAGTCTACTGGCTTCAGCCAACAATGCTTCAAATGCAACTGAGTCACTGACTACACCTAACAACTGTTGAATATAAAAAGAAATTGTACATAGCATAGAACATCAATTAGGTTGAACAATTCAAAACAGACACCCTTAAAATTAACCCAAAATAAGATTTCCAAAAGAACAAATGCTACAATGCAAAAACCAAATATTGACTGTAGTATAATGATACGTAAGTTGTCAAAGAACATCCATCTGCTGTCAACCCTGCGTGCCTGAAGTTGAATGCTGTTCAAAGTCTCACAACAATGTCAAGCCCTACATTATTGCAAAATTATCACTGTCCAGCAACACTTGCTCAAGATTCTTAGATGGATACAAAACACTTCAATCCTTCTCATCTTACACACCCACAACCTCCAGCCATAAGCTTAACACTAAGGGCTCTTGTAGTCACTTATGCGTTTTGAAAGTTGGATATGCAAAGTCACAAAGGGATAGCCGATAGCAAAAGAAGGGGGAAAAAGCATGATTGACACATTATAAAATTGAAACAGGGTCAAAACTCAGAATATCTATAAGTAACCACTCATCCAATCTAAACTCCATGTAAAGAAACTATAATGGTCAGCCTGAAAACAACAATTCGATAAACGATTGTACTCTACAAATGAAGTTCAACACTCACAGGAATCCTATCTGGGTATTTCTCCCTGATCCTAGAAGCCTCTGCTCGCCTCTTCTCTGAAAATCTCAGAAATCACAGACAGAAACACATATAAATACAACAACAAAACAAACTACAAACAAAGACGACAACAACAACAATCTATTCCACAAGGCCAGTACAAACCAAGATCATGTTCTTGCTTGAATGAACTGTTTGCCATCCCACCAGAAATTACAGCTGAATGAAAAAATCAAAATTCATGCTGTTAATTGCGCTTATAGGAAAAAGTAAAACTATTTTTCTTCACAAAGACATTTAGGCCTGTTTAAACAAAATCAAAAAAGACTAGATGGTCCAGAACATATACACGCAACAAAACTTTCAACATACACAATACCAAAGACAGAACCCTATCTTCAAAGGTTATGGCTTTTGGGTGATTATGAGTTTTCAAAAACAAATGCCCAAGAAACCATCTTGATATAACACCTAAAACTGATAAAATCAATCAAAATCCCCATATTTGACTTCCTTTTTTCACCAAAACTATAACAAGAACGTCCAAGAAAAACAAAACTGGATACAACAAAGCAAACATCTTGAATTGGCAATGAAATTAGAAGCCGAAACTCCGAATACCATCGAAAAAATCGAAGGGACTAACCTTTTCAAAGAAGAATGAAGAAAACAAAAAACAGCTCCCTTGCTGCCGAACTCTGGAATATGGTGTCGATTGATTCAAGATAAAATATGACGACTTTGCTTTGGTCGTAAACTAACATATATAGTAAAATATGATAATAACTCGCGGCCGAAGATACAGTGTAATTAAAAAAAATTGAACATAAAATTTAAACGTGAAATAATCAAGTATCGAACTCAGACATGTACTAAACTGAAAGTCTAAACTTGTTCTACATCACGTGTACTGTGCATAGTTTTTAAACACGAAATAAATATGCATTAAGCTAAAAATCGTTTGATCATTATAAATATGCATTAAGCTAAAAATCATTTGATCATTTTTAATATTATGATTTTAGTGAAATAAAAATTGTCAAAATATACATACTCTGTAAAAAATATGGGAGATTATTTACTGGACAAAAAATTAAATCCAGCTAGCATGTGCAACTTGCATGTCTCATATTCTATTCAATCTTCAAAACCATTTAAAACTGAAAATAAAAATGTTCCTAATTTCGTCGCAAGAGTTACAAACACATTAGAATCAGCAACCATATTTTCACGACTGTGTGACATAAAAAAGTACAGCAGATTTGAGTTAGAAACAAACCAACTCACCAAAAAGAAACAAATCAATTGATCAAATGCACAAGTCTGGACTGTCCTTAACTCATATGTCTTTCTATTGAATCCTATGAACTTTCAATCTCTTTGTTATCGAGGGCCACTTTGCTGCTTTTTACTCCGGGGTATAGTTGACTTGGCAGATGCCATGCTTGATTTCAGATCTAGCCCATGCTACAACCACTATAAGTACAAGCATTTTGACCCACTGGTAGAAGTCGTTGGAGAAGTGGAAACCCTTACACTATGTGGATGGATTTTCAAGGTGAGGACTTGTTATTTGTTCCTTTTTGATCTAGGTTCTGAAAATCTCTTCTGCTTGAAAACAAATATCTAAGTTCACAATGATTTTAGAATTGATAGTACCTATTTGATACCAGTAATGTTAGACTAACCAAATTTTGGGACTAAATTTGAAGTCCAAATGACATGGCAGCTGATTATTTGGAGTTTTTATTGGGGCTCAAATGACATGACATCAATGAAAGAAGTTCAAGTCAACTGCTATGTCATTTAGACTCCAAATTTGGTCCCAAAATTTGGTCAATATAGCATTACTCATTTGATACAGCATAATAAATCAACTTCTTGAACTTCTTGCAGACAATTATCCTCCCACCACCATCAATAGAATTCTCTAAACTCAAAGATTTATGGTGGATAGATAGCTTGATGGAAGAATACAATATTGAGGCCCTGTTCGCCTTTTAAATTGAATGTCCTTCACTGAAAAGGCTGTTCATAACTCGATGTGCACGCAAGGATGTTTATGAAAACTCATATGAGCAGGGCAATGAAGAAAATAAAAAGAAACCAAAATTCACAGATCAGAAAGAGTAAATGGAGAAATCCCAAAATAGAAATTCTTGGGCAATTAAGAATTATAATCTTCAATTTTCTGTTAAAATTTGAGGAGGAAAGTGAAAGAACCCAAATCACCAAAAAAAGTGAGAAGTACATGGTGGCAAAACAAAGTAATAAGCCTAGCCAGAAGAACTCCTAGAAACAAACAAAGAAAATATAGTGATAATGTCAATTCTTGAATATTGGAATGTTTTTCTTGATATGCAATGAACATTCACATGCACCCAGATGCATGCATACTCATGTATCTCTAAAATTGCCTATCAATGATAACTATAACAGATAGACTTTCTAAAAAAAATGGCCTACTGAAATAACTATTGGAGACATTTGAAATATACTCTTTCCCAATCCATGGTTGTCAGTCTCTCAAGACTTTAAGAGTGAACAGCTTAGATCATAACAGTTACAACCAAGACGAACATTATATTTGATCTTGATTATTCAATTGAAAATTGTATAACAGGGCACATATATACACCAGAAACCAGAGACTGTAAAGTTGAATATTGGAGGGAGAATATTCTCTTTGGCAAGCAAATAAGTTACAATGACTCAATAAACCCTCATAAATATGTGTGTTTATATGTATCCAACCAAGAAAACCAATAACAGAAAGAGAGAAGAACCAGTTGCAGCGATCTTTTTAAAAGACAAACGGTTGTGGCATCACCTAGTGAGGGCCAGCGAGAGAGAGATGGAAGCGAGAGAAAGGACAGAGAGGGGGGGATACCTGCACTGGACTTGAGTTACCAATGCTTGTGGGTCACGCTGGTGGCTCTTTGGTGGTGGGTTACGTTGGCTGGAAAGTAAAGGAAGAGGTATGAGGGCACCAAGAGGGATTGGTCTGAAATTTTTGTCATGAGAGAGGAAAGGGAAGAGAGAAGAGAGAGAGAGAGAGAGAGAGAAGAAGTGAGAGGGAATGATCTAGGAAAGTGGGTTCAACAGGCAACATGACTAATGGCCATAGCTATCAGGACCTTTCTTTATGGATGACAAAATTTAAATAAAATCTATAGCTAAAAGATCAAAAATAGAAAGGAAGAGAAATTACCTTCCAAGGGCATTGTGTGGCATCACTGCGGTGTTTATCATGCATTCCTTTGACAAAATAATAGAACATGGTGTCTGCACAAACAAAAAAAATCGAGATTTCCATGAGTTTGAACGAATAAATAAATTATTGTAGCAAATAATAAGGTAAAACCCGCAATATAATTCTTAACATTAAGAAACAACACCCATATAGGCCATAGTCAAGTTCACATATTATTCCCTCGTACCAAAAGGCACTGTGTAACACAAAAAATAATTTTATTCTACAACATTTAATAGAATTTTCAAGCAATTTCGAGTATATATCGTAGAAAGTAGACATTCAATAAAAGATCACCCACACACTGTGAGCAAGGAGAACAATATTCCATGAGACAAATTGAAAAATAGAATTGCATAACTATATGAGCTACATGTTCTTTTCATTTTTTTTTATTTTCCATAGCACCCATGCTTCTAAAACATGATCATTTATAGATGGCTATAACAGGCACTAAATAGGATTTATAAATAAAAATAATAGGAATGCCCCTAGTTATCTTGGTTCGGGTGGTGAAGAGAGCTATTGCCACCTGAGCATTTTATAAGTTCGTTTTGTTATGAAAATGATGGGTTCCAAAAGTTTTAAGAGACTGATATTTGAATGCTTGATGAAAAAGAAAAATTATACAGTGCATGACACAAACAGAAAATTACCCAAATTGATGACAATCCTTCATTCAAGCAAGAACAGTCGATGAGTCCCACTCCCAAAAGAAAGCCCACGGCTATGCTAGTGTGCAAGAAATTTCCACAAAATGCCGGTGTGCAAGAAATAGTAGTTTCGGAACTATTGGCAACACAATCAACAACTTTGCAATGACAAAATGGACCTTTTACTTAGTGGAGCAATTTTTTTAAAACAAACATAGAATTTAGTGAGATTGAAGAGAAAAACCAACTAAAAAGTACAAAAGACTTGAAATAATTGTGAGTAAAAGGAGATACTCAAATTAAGAGTAAAACCCCGTATATATAGGCAAAATATAAAAATCATAGTAAGGGTAAAAAGAGAAAAGAAATCCTAATAAACCTAGACTATCTATACTCCAACACTCCCCCTCAAGTTAGGCGCAAAAATATCAACTAAGCCAAGCTTGACAACGGAGTCCCGAAGAATAGACAGAGTGACAGGTTTGGTAAAAACATCCGCAACTTGATCACTGGTCCCCACAAACGATGGAGTAACAAGACCACTGCTGACCTTCTCCCGAAGAAAGTGAACATCGATCTCTATATGCTTCGTTCTCTCATGTAGTACAGAGTCAGAAGCGAGCTGAATAGCAGATTGATTATCACAATATAATGTGGATGAAGAGGTCACTGAAAAACCCAACTCGTCAAGAATCGATCGTAGCCAGATAATCTCACATGTGCCAAGTGTCAATGCCCGATACTCTGCCTCTGCGGACGAGCGGGAGACAACTGCCTGCTTCTTGCTCTTCCAAGAGATAAGATGAGTCCCTCGAAAAGCACAGAAACCCGTAGTAGATCGACCATCACATGCTCCCCCATAATCTGAATCTGAATAACAGGCTAGAGAACCGGTCTGAGATCCTGATGCATAAAACAACCCAAGTCCAGGACAAGACTTGAGGTACCGAAGAATATGATAAACTGCATCAAGATGAGGCTGACATGGCCTATGCATGAACTGACTAACTCGACTGACTGCGAATGAAATATCCGGCCTAGTATTGGCTAAGTAGATAAGTCTACCTACCAATCTTTGATAAACTGTCGGATCTTTCAACTCCTCACCTTCAGCAGTAAGCTTCAGGTTTGGAATCATAGGTGATAATGCCGGTTTGCATCCCAACATCCCAGTGTCTGAAAGAAGATCCAAAACATACTTTCTCTGAGAAAGAACAATACCTCTGCTTCTACGGGCAACCTCAATCCCAAGAAAGTATCGCAGAAATCCAAGATCCTTCACATCGAAGGCCTTCCCAAGGTCTATCTTGACCTGCGCAGTCCCAGAAACATCATCACCAGTAATAATAATATCATCAACATATACCAGAAGGATGACACACTGTCCAGAAGTATTCTGTCGAATAAAGCAGGTATGATCAGAATGACACCTGGTGAACCCCAATCGTATGACTACATCACTGAAGCGAGAGAACCAGGCTCGTGGCGACTGTTTCAGTCCATAAAGAGACTTACGCAGTCGACATACCTTTCCAGCATACTCCCCCTCACCACGAAAGCCCGGTGGTGCATCCATATAAATAATCTCGTCCAGATCACCGTGAAGAAATGCATTCTTCACATCTAATTGATGAAGAGGCCAAGAGTACTCCGCAGCCAGAGAAATAATTAACCGAACAATAGTCAATTTACCACGGGGGCAAATGTAGCACCAAAATCACGACCTGGTACCTGAGTAAAGCCCTTCGCCACAAGTCTAGCCTTGTAACGATCAATAGTACCATCCGCAAGAAACTTCAGGGTGTAAACCCAGCGACAGCCAACAGGTTTCACCCCTGAAGGTAAGGAGACAAGATCCCATGTATGATTACGCTGAAGAGTGTCCATCTCTGTCTGCATGGCAAGAACCCACTGGGGCTCCTGCATAGCTTCCGAAATAGAGCGAGGAACCAGCGTATCTGATAAGGCCATAGTATAAGCTCGAAATGTGGGAGACAGATTACCATAAGAAACATAAGCAGAGATCAGATATAAAATCTTTGCGGTCCAACCATATCGATCAACTGGACGGCGATCACGCCTTGGATAACGACGCCCTAAATCACCATCCTCTACTGATAATATCTTATCAGGTAAAGTAACTGGCTCAGCACCTGTAATCTCATCAGTACTAACAACAGGTACATCAATATGCTCAACAAACTGAGAAGTATTACCTGCATCGCCTGAGGTAGAGGGGATATCAGCAGGGTGATAAGAGTGAGGACAACGAGCATACACCTGCAAAGGAAGAGAGACTGGTAACTCTGTACTGACAGGGATGAGTGACTCCTTTGGAGGAAAAACGGATGACCCTGTAGGGATAGTGATCAATGACTCTGACTCTTGTGGTAATGGAAAATCAAAGGGAGTATCATCAACTGGAGGGGCACAAAGGACTGAAAGGAAAATAAGAAATATGCTCAAGAAAGGTAACATCTAGACTGTGATACATACGACGCCTAATAGGATCATAACATCGATACCCCTTAGATTGATGACAATAGCCCACAAAGATACAACGAATCGCTTTATCATCAAGTTTATGACGAGTAGGAGACCGATCCTGAACAAAACATGTGCATCCAAAAACACCGAGGGGGGACCAGAAAAAGTGTCCGCTCAGGAAATAAGACCTGTAAGGGAGCCTTATGCTGAAGAACACGACTCGGCGTACGATTGCACAGAAAGGTAGAAGTCAAAACAGCAAAATGCCAATAAGATTTTGGTACCCTCATGCCTCTAAGCAGACAACGTACCATCCCTATCAAACTCCTATTTTCCTCTCAGCAACACCATTTTGCTCAGGAGTATATGGACAAGTGAGTTGCTGAAGGATACCCTGAGAAGAAAGGTGAGACACTAAAGCATCAGACACATATTCTTTGGCATTATCCGAACGAAGAGCACGAACAATGACATCGAATTGTGTCTTAATCATCTGTAAAAACTGAGTGATTATAGGGAGCACATCAGACTTCCTATGCAAAAGGTAGACCCAAGTACAACGGGTATGATCATCTATAAATGTCACATAATATCTGGCACCTGACAGAGCAGTAACGGGAGAGGGTCCCCAAATATCAGAGTGTATTAGGTCAAATGGCTTGGGTGACTGGTGCATGCGAGGAATATAATTGGCCCTAACATGTTTTGATAGGGAACAGATAACGCAATCAAGTTTACCACCAACACAAGCATTACTCAAAGCAGGAAACAACATACATAAATATTTAAAATTTGTATGTCCAAAACGGTCATGCCACAATTGAACAGTTTGTGACGAAAAATCATAACGACAACTACTAGGTAAAATACTAGCATGCAAGCTAGGAACAGAAAAAGACAAAGCAGGTGCAGGTGAAGGAATTGGTGAAACTGGAGATGGATTGCCAAGATAATACAGTCCATCTTTCTCATGTCCCTTGATAATAATCCTCCTGGTACTCAGGTCCTGCAAATAACACGAATCAGATAAGAATACAACCGCACAGTGAAAATCTCTGGCTAACTGATGTACAGATAATAGATTCATGGCCAACTTTGGCGCATGAAAAACCGAATGTAATGTAAGGTCATCTGGGAGACGGACTGTACCCCTACTAACAATAGGGGCATGTGTTCCATCTGCTAACTGAACCTGTGTATGTAATGGCTCGTCAAAAGTGGTGAAGTGATGGGCCTCACCTGTCATGTGACCATTCGCACCCGAGTCCAACATCCAAAGGGGAGATGAACTGGCACAAGCGTGAAAGGCACGAGATATACCTGTAGTGGTGACAGCAGCATAGTCAGACTCTGAGAAGTCAGAGCAGACATAAGTATATCTAATCGGGAAGTGATAGCATCCATATCACTTTGCCAAGGAGGAGCAGTAGCAGGAGTGGCGGTAGTGGGCGGTGGTACCTCAGCAATAGCAACAGTACGGCTGCGAGAAGGTGGCTTAAGCTCTGGATGGAGCTTCCAGCAAGTAGCCCTGAGATGTCCTGGTCGGCCACAATAATCACATTGACGGGAATCCCCCCGTCTGCGCTGATCTGGGGCGCCCTGACGGCGCTGGTCTGAGCGTTGCCTATCCCTGACTAAGGATCCTGAACGGGACCCTACAGCAGCTGCAAGGGCCATCTGGTCAATCGAAGGAGGCAAAGCTGCAACTGGAAGTGATGCAATACGGACTCGACGCTCATGCTGCTCAATCATCCCATACACCTCATAAAGAGAAGGAAGTGTCAACATCGACAAGATCTGAGAACGAGTCCCTCAAACTCATCACGAAGCCCCATAAGGAACTTGTGAATCCTATCCTCCTGCTCTCGAGTATGCAAGAATGCTGCTCCCTCGGGCTCTATCTTCGGAATAGCAGCAAGAGGACGTAGAGACTCATACTCAAGCCAGCGCTGGGTCAAATAGCCATAATAATCCTGAACGGTCATATCTCCCTGCCGAGCATATGAGAGCTCCTGAGAAAGCTCATAAACACGAACTCCCCGTCCTGACTGAGAATACATCTCTGATAATGCGCTCCATAGCTTCGGAACAGAGCTATGAAACTGGTGGATCTTGCAAACAGAGGGCTCCATTGAGCCAAATAACCATCCAAGAATGGCACAGTTTTCAGAGAATCATGCAGAATATCCAGGGTCGGCATCAGCTGGCTTTGGGTGAGATCCCGTCAGCCAACCAAGCTTCCCTACACGGCCTAAGAAAAGCTGGAATGAGCGTGACCACTCAGCGAAGTTACGACCATTCAACAATTGTGCCGTAACTTTTTGAGAGATCATGTCCGATAATGCTGGTAATGCAACTGTGCTAGTAGGCACTGTATACTGGTCAAACATAAAAGTGGAAGTACCCATAGAGGTCTCAACGGTAGAGGTGTCAACAGTAGGGTTCTCAAGTCCCTCAGTAGTAGCCATATCAACAACAATACTAGGGCACCCGTGACAGAAAAATAACTCTAAGATATATAGAGGAATAAAATAAGGGAGAACAATATACCTTCAGTCGAACAGTAGCGACAAATAGGGAAAGTCCAAAAAGCTCCCAAATAATCAAGTCACGGTGCCCAGAAATCCAAAATATATAAATAAGTGATCTACTGCATCAAGGACAGATCAACAGAAAAGAGGATCCGCTCCCTCCCAAAAAAAGTCCTAGAATAAAATTACAACGAAAGTTGTGACCCAGCAGTGGGCAATCTAGCAGTAGGAGTGGTTTTATTGGGTTTATTGGGTTGGATCTATTATTATTATTATATGGAGAATGGGTAAAGGGCGCGGGACAGGATATATATGACAGTGGGCTGGTTTGGCATATGGTTTTGGGGTTTCTAGAATTCTTGATCAGACTATGGATGCTTGTAATTCCTCAGTGGGTACGATTGCGTATATGAGTCTTGAAAGGATCAACACGGATCTGAATCATGGGAAGTATGATGGGTTTGCTAGGGATATTTGGAGCTTAGGAGTTAGCATCCTTGAGTTTTATCTGGGTCGATTTCCGTTTGCTGTGGGAAGGCAAGGTGATTGGGCAAGTCTCATGTGTGCAATCTGTTTTTGCGCAGCCTCCTGAAGCACCGCTGACTTGTCAGTGCAGGTGGGTATTCGATTTTGCAGGTGAGGATCGATATGGACTGGTTGAACTGGTATGCGGCTAGGGGCTGGTATGGACTGGTATGAGGATGGGCAATCGGTGGAAGACTGTTTGTTGCCTGGGCCGTCGGTGTATGGATTTTGGGGCTGTCGGTGTGGCCTGGTATGGGCAGTAGGTGGACTGGTTTGGTCGGTTTCGCTGGGCAGCTGATGGCCAGGGTGGAGGCAGTCTCGGTGGAGGCTAAGGTTGGGGAGAAGGTTAGGGTTTGGGGTAGGGTTAGTGTATGGCTCTGATACCAACTTGAAATAATTGTGAGTAAAAGGAGATACTCAAATTAAGAGTAAAACCCCGTATATATAGGCAAAATATAAAAATCATAGTAAGGGTAAAAAAAGGAAAAGAAATTCTAATAAACTTAGACTATCTATACTCCAACAAAAAGCACAGTAAATTACAACAGAGCAACTTAGTTGATTACGGCATTGTGATGCTTACCCATAAAACAAAGATCAATTGCAAGACAAAACCCATGTTTTTTACAACTTAAGGCATTAAAAAATGGTGTGATTTTCCTGTAACCTTTCTTCAAGAGAGGCTGAAACACCATTAAAAACTATAAGATCATCTACCCTTGTCCCAACAAGCACACCGGCTCGCACCTTTTCTTTTTTTTTTTTGGTTAAAAAACATAAGAGTAAAAGATACAATGAGTAAGCATCACAATGTTGTCATTATATCATGGATGACCCATAAAACATACATAACATGTGTAATTTTTTAAGAAAATTAACTGACAGAATGAGAAAAGAAAGATGCAAGAAGAAGGAGAAAATATTGAATGAGATCAACCAAATATTAACTATATGTTCATTACTGATCAATGATGTAATGTACATCAAAATAATTTGAGGCAACCACAATTCTTTGAGGCCATTTGAGGAAGGGTTTGCCATGGATGTACAACATTGGTTACATCAACTAATTTCATGGCTAACTAATACCAGCTATCCTAAATGAAAGAAACAATACAATTTAAGGTCAACCAAAAACTATCTATAATATAAAACAGGTGACATACTAATAAAATACTTATCTTATTTACAGTCCCTAAAAATGAAGAATTGTTGAAAACATACTAATTCATTTTTATCCAAATTTTAATAGCAAGATGTTGGGACCGCCTTCTTGTTAGTCAGTCCAACTCATACTCGAATTGTTACCTACTTATAGAAGATCAAATTCTATAGAAACAATGATTCAAGACTCGTGTTCCAATTCAAGCAACAATCACATTACGCCACTAAGCGCAAAATAGGCAATTAAAAAATAATATAACCACTTAAAAACAAACAAAAATGGTGTTCCCAAGATTCTTTGTGAAAATATTCAGACCCTTATAGGGGGTAATGACAACAGAATTCCAACAATTTGACCGAAAATAGTTGCTTAAGATGTTCTCAAGGAGAATAGCTTGGGGGGGAAAACAGATTCTTAAGGTAGTTTATGTGATGTTTAATTGTTCATAATTATGGAATATCTAGCAATGTCAAAGTCCAAGTGGTTGCAAGCTATGGAGCAGCAATATGACAAACACAGTGATCACCAACTTGAATTCAAACTTATACCAAATTAAAGAAATGCTGTAAGAATCTAATTTATTGACCTAATTCACTATAACCTTTGAATTGATTGTAGGACCATCAAACATTAAAATTTGGTGTTGATCCAATGATTCTATTGAAGTCACATCATTATATCCGCAAATTAGATCAAATTTTTAAATTTAAATAGTATTACTCACCAAATTAAGGAAAAACTTTTTTTTGGATCCACCCAATCCCAATATACTTCTTCTTTGCACAGAGAATACACAGTTCTCTCCCTCCCTTCGACTCTTCTTGCCACCGAAGCATTCATGGTTCCTTTGAAGACAAATGGTAAGCTTCTTCCATTTCATCTTTACTTTCACAATTAACCTAAATATACTGAATTCATATTTAGAGAAATATTTAGTTAATCTTCACTGGTTTATATCCCTGGGGTTTGAGATTTGGAGATATCTGGGACTCGAAATGATAAACTTTTGTGCACCAAATCGGTTACTAATCACACCATAGGATAAACAGAACATGCCAAATCCCTGCACCATCAGATGGCTTTTGCGATAACCATAGTTTTGCTTGTGCTTTTTGATCCTGAGATTTGTGAAGTTCCAGGTTCTTTAGAGAGTCATTGGTAGCCGACTGTGATTACTAGGTTGATTTTCCGAAAGCGAGTTATCTAGAAATTGAGGTGCATTTGGTGAAAGTAGAGTTTTTTGGGGTAATTTGGAAATTTTTAAAAATATTTGATAGAATATTTGAGTTTGTTGATCGGAGTAGTTTGTACTAAATAAATTTTTTACTCAAATTTGAGTCATGATTAGAGATGCTCTTAGAGCATATTCGGCCCTTACTTATTTGTTGAATTCAAACTTAAATTTGAGTCAAGATGGTCTAAAAATCTTCTCAAATCTTACATCCAAACTCAAATCAAGTGAAGAGAGATTCAAACTTTTACTTAAGTCAACAATGGTTAATTTTTTTTTTTAGATCTAATGTTCATAATTTATCTTTTTTAAATTTGTGTTTGTCTTCTTTGAAATCTGAGTTTGTCCATCTTTAAATTTAAGTTTGTTTGTTAAAGTTTTTTGTATTAAATCAAACTTCTTGACTCAAATTCGAATTAAAATTTAAGTGAAAATATGAGATAGTCTTACCTAATCTATAAAAGGGTATGTTTGTTTTAAGGAAAATGATAGATGAGATTAGAATCTTATTTCTCATTATGTTCAACGTCATAGGTATGGAAGATATAATTTAATTTTTTTTTTAATCTTATACCATGTTTGACTTATGACTTTTGCAATGCGTGAGTTTCACATAAAAGTAATAATTACATTTGATAATTGATTGTCTTACTCTCCGTTTGTTTTAGATTATTAGACATTTGAAATGTTAATATCGTAATTTACATCAAAAGTGAAGATTTTAATTTATATAAATTGACTTTAATGCCCTTGTCTTGAATTAGAACATTAGGCATCAAAAGCGGTAATACTGTAATCTAGTATTATTGTTAGTTTTCTACCTCATTTTAATACCACCTCCTAGGTAGCTTGATTGGTGTTAACAAATTTATCTAATATTACGGTTAAAAAATTAAAATTTTAATTTATAAAAATACAGTTCAAATTGACCCAATATTTACCTAATTAATCAAATAATACAAATTCATCTCAAAATTTATTTTACTGTTCAAAAATATCATCTTCTTTACACGACACTCAATGTTAATGTCAGACAATTCAACCAGCACACTACTCAATATCAAATAACTCCACTAATTCACACCTACCTCTCTCTTTCCTCTCTATGCCTCTCTCTTATTACAAGAAGTCTTCAAGCACAGGATTATTAGTAATACCCTTTTGTAGTGTCTTTTATGTAATTTTTTAAATAGTGTTTATTTTTATATATTAGTTTTTTTTAACCACACTTATTCCATTCTTTCAGATTTACTCACATATATATTAGTTTGAATATATCCATATAAAAGCAAATTAGTTGTGTACAAAGTTTCATATAACTATAGGGTTCCACATCTTTGCTTATTGAAATATCTCAACATATAATAAAATAGGGACTTTAAAGCCTGATTAACAAGAGAGAAACTTGACTTTGAAAAAGAAAAGAAAAGAGGCGTGCTAGCTGTAATTAAACTGAATCGCTAACGCCCTTTCTTGCTCGTTAGCGTTTGACTAATAATATAAGACGTTTTCAACTTGCCTAAAAGTTCGATTCATTAAGTTTTTTGATTTGTTCCGAAAAGAAACAAGAGACAAGAAAAACATATTTGATTACAATTAAAAGAAACAATTTCAAATAGACCAAGATCCAATTTCGGGTCATTTCTTGGTAAACATGATCTGCCATAATTGTTTTTATTGTATAGTGATCAAATAGTCTTTTACTTTTATTATAAAATTATATTTTACTTAAAAAAACGTTATAAACGGTAAGTCACATCTTTCCAACCCAATAATATAATGTTCAATATTTCAACAGACACACATCAATGTTTAATTATTATTTAGTTACGACAAAGTTGCAAAAATGAGCTAGTGTCTATGTTGATTAACCTGTCCCATAAGCTAAATCATAGCTTGACGCTACCATGGGTGGCTGCAAAGCATTCAATAAAGCTTCTTCAATGACTGACTGTGTATTGAGGTTTGGTCATGTCTTTAGGGAGTGGGACATTGTCTTCACAAAAATGGTCAAATAGCTGTTATTATGAGGCCCCTTTTTCAATATCTTATTAACCCTATCCCTTTAGGCTTTTGGAAGTCTTTAACTCATGATGGTGTTCATTGAGAATACAACACTCTTCCCCTTCTACCTCTAAATTATGACCAATTGATAGCAATTTAGCCTATTTGAGTCTTAAACTTGACCTGATGGGATCGTAATGTTTAATGATGTGCTGAAAAGTTGGCACAGTTTTGTCCTAATCCACCGGAAAATTTTACACCACGATAATCTCTTCTATTTTTTGTAATTTGAGCAACTTAGGGAAATATGGGTGCATTTCCTTGAGGAGGGAAACATTGGGGAAACTCCAATTAAATGAGCAAATAAAGTTGTATTGTCGAAAATACATAGACATTAATATTGCCTGAAAAATATTTCTCTTTGCTTCTTATGAAGGTTGTTGTAGCTCTTCTATCTGTGTTTTCATCGTTTTCCTGCCATTTAGGATAAAGAAGAAATTTATACGGCCGGCCCAATCACTAGGCCACTAAAGCTTAGGCTTTCGTCTCCACTTTGAAGAAGATTTCATAATTTTTAAGTGTATGGTAATAGTTCAAATAAAAAATTTAAATTCATAAAAAATAAGCCCTACAAAAACTTAGATCTAAGAACAAGCAAAAAATTAAAGTGAAAATTGGGGCTAAGTCCTCCTTAAAAGACTTATAATAAGTTTAGTCTATTAAGAAAATTTATTTGGATATAAGTCCGTTTTTAATCTTACTAATAAGTAGTTAAGTCTAGTATTTTTTAAAAACTCTAAAATACCCTTCTTTGAATGTAACTTTAAATTATTTTCCTAACTTGAGAATTATTATCTCTTAATTTATTATTAATGAAGATATGCTAATAAATTTTTTTACATAAATTTAAATTTTAAATTCAAAGAAAAATTGATACTATTTTTGTCTTTTCTCTCTCTCCATAGAAACAAAGCCTAAGAAAATGTGGCAGTGTGAGAAACATGAAATGAGGTGGATCACCTTCTAATTGACAAGATGGAAGGGGTTTTGCTAGGCAGGGTCCCGATAACTAAGACTCATCATATAACTTTTTTTTTAATTTAAGAAGCATGTGTACGGATACGAAATAGAATAAAGTTTAAAAATAAAGAACATTAGTACAAAAAGGATATAATTAATTAAAATATCCCACATCGGATAGTTTCGGGTACGTGCATGTGTTTATATGTCTTTCCTGGCCCCGACTTTGTTAGAGTCGGTGGTTAGGATTTGATCAAAAATATTAAAATAATATTATATAATTTTTTAGATAATAGTAGAGTTGTAATACATTAAAAATAAATTATATTTTGTCACAATATTAATAATAAGACCTAACAATTATTAAGTTTGTTATTAAATTAAACTATACCAAAATAAACATTTGTTATTTTCGTCAAACAACATTACATCTACTAACATTTATAGTCCATGAAGTTACATGACATAAAATACAAAAACAAAATAAAGAAATCCTATAACACTTTTAATAGTGAACAATTGTGAGATTAAAAAAACTATTCGTCGTTTTTTGGCCTTGTCCTATCTGTATCCTAATCGTGAATAACTAAATTCACTTTTTTGTATACTGTTCATTATGTCGGACACGTGTCTAACATTGCCACAACACCTCCTCTAACAATTATCCATGCTTTCTAGTTCTTTAAGGGGTGTTGAAATCCCATTAAAGGAAAAAAAAAGGTGTAAAAAAATGTAAAGCGTGACAAATAAGTTTAGAACCTGTTTAAACTTTTAGATGAGCTTGAACTTGAACACGAATAACAAAGTCTTGTGTAGTTGGACTCTGCTTATATAGGCAAAAAACTAAGATAGAAATGGAAATTTCTTAGTGGGTTTTAAGCCATTGTGTTTGATAAGATTGATGTATAAGAACATTTAAATCTTATACAGCTTGCTATAAATGGTGTGTGAAAGATCTTGAAGAGTAAAAAGATCGAAGCTATGTCTTGCCATGACCAAGTTGACGTTTGGACAATGATGTGAGACTAGTAGTACAATGGTTTCTTCAGCAAGAGCAAACTAAGCCAGGCAACAATGTATACACTTCCATCCAATGTTTCATCCATAGTAGTAAATGATGAACTTGTATTGGTCGTACTTTGTATTCTTTTTACATTTAAAGGATTTCTTATTTCTTTTTTCCCATCAAATACGTTAACAAAGAATTTAAAATATCTGCAATTTGTTCTTCTGGACTAGATTTTGAACAAAAATATCTACAACCACTCATACTACCCTAAATAAGACATAAAAAACTTTCGTGTTATTGTGAGTTCTGAAAATTGTCAGATTCGCACAGTTTACTCTATCCGTATAAAAAAATTGTTTTCATAACTTAGACCACCAGAATACCCGGATCACAATAGAACAATTTAATATCCTCAATAGTAGAGAAACGGGGTAATAATTTGGGCAGAAAGTTGTGTGAAACCCAAGGTTATGCCTTTCATTTTCTTTCCTGTCTCACTTTTTTTCCTAGGTTGTTCATATCAGAAAGAATTGAAGGAACATGATCGCAAGTCATTGACAATATGCAATTTTATCATCTTTTAGCAGCCAAAGAAACATGACAGAACCCTAAATTTTTATCTGGTAGCTAAAGACGTAACATGGAAGCTAAACTCAATGTCAAAAAAGAAAAAAAGCACATGAAAATTAAAGGTACTAGATGAAACTAGAGGGTAATTATTGGTTAATGGATCCCACTTAACCAATCATGTTTGCTAATTTGCAAATAATTCAATTTGGAGATAGTACTCTGAGTGCTAAAAAACTTCATCTTCAGCCCAAGGTACTAGTGCAATCGATATCTACTGCATTTTTTAAAATGATTAGAAGGTTGATTTAACAATTCAAGGTATGTTATTTTTATTCTTTCAATTTTAAAGGAAGTTTAAGTAGTAATAGAGACTAGCTGTAAACTCAGATATTCTGAGTTTAAATCTTAACAACCTATTGGAGTCAGACAATATGATATCCTAGTCCCGACGTGGATAACCTGTTTTTAACCAGATCTGAGAGAAAATTAGTTGAAGTACGTGTAAATTGACTCGAATACCCTTTATCGTTAAAAAAAAAAATTCCTCCTGTTTGTGATGGTAATGGTCTACCAATCCATAACGTGTTAAAACTAAAATATGTTGTGAATAATTTGATCTGGTTAAGCACAATAAATTTTGGTGCTTGCATTTATTATTATCCATCAGAACAAACGCTATGCAAATTCTTACCTACATTTAAATTTGAGTAAAAACTTGTTAAAAACAACTAGTCATTTGCTTAAACTCATATTAAATCAAGCGAGATTTAAATTTTCAATGGTCATTTCACTATTTTAAAAAATCTAATGATCATATTTCACCTTTATTTAAATTTGAATTTGTCTTATTTTAAATTTAAGTTTATCCCCCAACAAATTTAAGTTTATCCAATATAGTATATTGTATCAAATCGAATTAAGATTGAAGATGGATTTAGGTTTTAGAAAAAAATCTGGTACGACAATGAAATTTGTATATAATATTAGAATAATTATAACCCAATCAAGTTAAATTAGGAGTTAATGCGATCAAAGTATTAACCATTGAGGACTAAAAATCAGATATTTCACTCAAAGATCTTCATATTAGCGAAAAATATAACAATTATTTTCGCAAAGAGCAACCTTGATCGATCAAACGAACGTCTTATCAATCATACTTTTCTTTTGTCAATACTATTGCGGACTAACGTACATGATATTCGACAGTTTCAGGGTTTGATTGTTACTGGATTCAAATTTCAAGAGGTTTTAATGTAATTTTTAAAATATGAATGAGGTATATACCTTGATTTAATAATTCAAAGTATGTTAATTTTATTCTTTCAATTTTAAAGGTAGCTTAAGTAATAACAGAGACTAGTTGTAAACTCAAACGTTCTGAATTTGAATCTTAACAACCTCTTGGAGTCAGACAACATGATATCCTAGTCCCGACATGAATGACCTGTTTTTTAACCAGATTTAAAAGAAAATTAGTTGCATTATGTATAAATTGACTTGAATATTCTTCACCGTTGAAAAAAAAAACTCCTCATGCTTTGTGATGGTAATAGTCTACCGATCCATAACGTGTTAAAACTAAAATATGTTCCAAATAATTTGATTTGATTAAGCACAATAAATTTTGGTACTTGCATTTATTATTATCCATCAAAACAAATGCTACTCAAATTCTTACCTACATTTAAATTTGAGTAAAAACTTGTTAAAAACACTCCACCAACAACAAAATGAATGAGAAAATATTTCACCCATTGAAATTCAAAATTTTACTCATATCACTCATTTAACACTGTATTGAAAGAAGTTGAAGGGAAGGGATAATGGAGAGGATTCAAATCCCTCAAATTTGAGTATAAATTTGATTTAAGATTAAAGATGGCCTTAGGTTTTAGAAAAAAAATTTGGTACTAAAATGTAAAAAACACCACCGCCACACTTCTACCACCAACACCAACACTACCACGCCCACCATTACCATCACACTTCCACTATTATCATATTTCTATTTTTATTATTTTTTGAATTATTGTCTTAACAAGTTTTTTTTATTATTTTTTAATTCATATAATTGTTTTTGAAATCATATAATTAAAAAAGTTCTGGGATACAAAAAAAAATTAAAACACATTTTTCTAAAATTTTTCTCAAAAATAATTTTTAAATATTCATTTTTGAGACACAAATAGAACTGATAATTGAACCGAACTATTCAAGTTTGGTTCGAGTCCGGCTCAGATAAGACTCGATTCAAGCTTGACTTATGTTCTAAATGAACCGAATTTGAATAATTTTTTAAATTCGTTTAAAAAACGAATTTAAAAAAATTGATTCAATTCGTTTATATGTAAAATAATTAAATTATTTGAAATTGATTTATGTTTAACTTGTTTTAAATTCGATTCAAATTTGAATAATTTTTTAAATTAACGAGTTGAAAAAGTTGAGCTCAAAATTATAAAGGTCGGGCTTGATTAGACCCGAATAAAACAGGTTTAATTTCGCAGAAAGGTCAAAAAAATACCTGTCCTACAGTTACGATGGTAAATTACTGCAGGGTGACAGGGCCACAGTCGAGTGGGGGAGAAATATTGGGAACAGGGAAATAAAACACAGTGAGAGAGAGAGTTCCACTTTATTACTTTTTTATGATCCACGCATCATAATCCGTGGCAGAATAGAGAAGGAAAGGGTACACAGTTCTGCTAAAACAAGAGGAGGGTAGAAGAAGAAAAAGAAGATCGAGGAGGAGAGCAACAAAAAAGGTACAGTCTAGAGAGTAAAATATAGAAACTAGACAGAGAGGGTAGAGAGAGAAAAAAAGGGGAGGGAGAGAGAGAGAGAGGGGAAAGGGTATGGAGCCAAAATGGTGATATGTAAAACTCAAAAGGATGAGAAAAAACTGGAGGGAGAAGAGGCTCATCTCTTTGGTTACATGGGTCTCTTGAGAGATTCATGGCCTTAAGGCTGGTCTGAACTTTGAAGAGTCAAAAAGTCATCAAAGCAGTCCATATCATTCAAATCTGAGAAGAACCCCGTTTTGAACAAAAGGCAAGGCAACCCTTATCTTCTCTTTCAGTCTTTCTAGTTCTTCAAAGATTTTCATTATCTTTGGTGTTGATGGTGGTCTTGATTTTTCTTCTTTTTCTTGCTTTTTAGATGATAGGAATGTCATATGGTAACTTGCAAACAAAGGGTGTGCTTGAAGTAGCTGGTTTTGGTCCTTCTGTTTCAGAAGCTAATTTGAAGAAAGAACGTAGCTGTGCGAGCAATGAACCCATCTCTGTCCTGGACACTAGAAGAAGTCCCAGCCCTTCGACTTCAACATCAACCCTTTCTTCCTCTTTTGGTGGCACCAACGGTGGTGGTGGTGGGGGTGGTTCTGCCTCTACAGACAACACGATTGGCCTGGGGGCGGTTCCTGAGAATACTGGCCAACAAAAATGGCTCGGGTATTTGCCACCAGAGACTAATTCGGTGGCTGTGAATGAAACTGTCACCGCCGGAAGTGGTGGCTGGAAAGAGGAGTGGGCGGGGGAGCTCCAGACTATTCCGGCTGGGTTAGAGGTGGGTCCTGGAGGGTCCGAAAGATTTGAGCTTGGATTGGAGGATTTGGACGGCTTGTTGTCCGAATCGGGCCAAGACCAGTCTCTTCTCCGGTGGATTACCGACGACGTAGACGACACCTCATTCACCTTGAAGCAATTGTTGCATAGTGGGAATCCTAGTGAGATCGATGGCAATGTCGCACACAGTTCTGGATCTGAACCCTCGGCCATTGATGGTTTATCTGGTGCTAACATTGTTTCAAGCATTTCTTCTGCTTTAGCTGTTTCGGATTCTGGTACTTCGATGTACAGCAACAATCACAACAACAATGGGAAAAGTGGTTTAGTCCCAAATTCTTTGGGTTTGAACAACAATGGTAACCCTCAAAACCCTAGCTTTTCTCTCTCATCTGGTAATCTAGCTGTGCCTCCTGGTATGATTCCTCAACAGCAACATCATCAGCTCCTTTCGGCCCCAGAAGAAAAGGTTCAAATTTTTAACCCTCAAATGCTCATGAACCAATCCCAGCTTCTTAACCCATTACTCTATGGCACTCAACAAGAGCACCATCATCAATTCCAGCCCCAACCAAAGCGTCACAATCCGGGTACTGCAAATTCAGTCTCTCAGATCCCCAAAGTCCCATTTACCGATCCAGGTCATGATTTTTTGGTCAGAAAACAGCAGCAATTGCCTCTAATTCAGCAGCCCCAACTGGGTTTGTCTCAGCAGCTCAATTTGCTCCCACAACATCTTCAGCAGAAGCCATTTATGGTTCCAAAGCAGGAGACTCTGGAAATGGTGGCTCGGCCCCATCACCAGCAACAAGAAGAAATATATGACCAGCTCTATAAGGCTGCAGAGCTAATATATGCTGGGAATTTCTCAAACGCGCAACGGATATTGGCGCGGCTCAATCACCAGCTCTCCCCCGCTGTAAAACCCTTTCAAAGGGCGGCTTATTACTTAAAGGAGGCTCTTCAATTGCCCCTCCTCTTGTCTAACTCAGCCACCCCTCTGCCGCCTAGGGTTCCTACACCATTTGATGGCATGTTCAAGATGGGTGCTTATAAAGTGCTCTCTGAGATTTCGCCCCTTATTCACTTCATGAATTTCACCTCCAACCAGGTCTTCCTGGAGGCTCTTGATGATGCTGAGCACATTCACATAATAGACTTTGATATTGAGTTTGGAGCACAGTGGTCTTCCTTTATGCAGGAACTTCCTAGGAGGAACAAAGGTGTATCTTCATTGAAAATTACTGCCTTTGCTTCTCCTTCAACCCACCATCCTATTGAGCTTGGCCTAATGCATGAAAATTTAACCCAGTTTGCTAATGATATGGGTGTTAATTTCGAGCTTGAAGTAATTAACTTTGATACTTTTGACCCAAGTTCTTATTCAATGTTCTCTTCTGGATCCTCTGAGAATGAGGCAATTGCTGTGAATTTCCCTGTCTGGTCTACTTTCAGTCACCTGCCTGTGCTTCCCTCTATTCTTCGCTTTATAAAGCAGCTCTCGCCAAAAATTGTGGTGTCATTGGATAATGGTTGTGGTCGGACTGAACTCTCCTTCTCGCACCACCTCCTCCATGCCCTCCAATACTATGATGTCCTTTTGGATTCTATTGATGCTGCTAATGTAACTTTAGAAACCACCAGCAAGATTGAGAGGTTCCTTTTCCAGCCAAAGATTGAAAGCATTGTATTTGGGCGCCTCCAAGCCCCTGACCTAATGCTTCCGTGGAAAAGCTTCTTTGCTTCTGCAGGGTTCTCACCTGTGGTGATCAGTAATTTTACTGAAACTCAGGCTGAATATGTGGTGAAGAAGACCCAGATTACAGGATTTTGTGTGGAAAAGCGCCAGGGATTGCTCCTCCTATGCTGGCAGGGTCATGAGCTTGTGTCAGCCTCGGCGTGGAGCTGCTGAGGGGACACAGTTTATCAAGCAAGAAGATTGGTTTTTAGCAGCACAATTAACTTACAGAGGTTATATTATGCTCTACTTTTTGATGTTAAGTTAATAAATTTCGAACTATGTTTGTGGCACCTCTTTCATGAGTTAATGTGTGCAAATTTTCTTGCTTGTGAATCTCCTCCATTTGTAATCTATCAAGTCTAGATACTAGACTGACTATTTTCCCAGGACAAACAGAATATTAACTTCCAAGTTTAGTACTCTTATTTCATAGAAAATGTTGCCACTTTTTGCTTTGACATGTTTATTGTATTGTAAGTAGATTTGCAGTTAATGATGATAATCTGTTGTATACTTGACTACAAATGTGAAGTAGAATTTTGAAAGAACTCGTCAGAAGTTTAGATGCTTTTGTGAAGGATCTGGGTTGTACAATTGTATATTCGCAATGCGTGCTAATTTATTGTGTGTAATTGAGTTTAATGCTTAGGTAATGTTTGTTACACCGGACCACTTTAAAATTGTTTGCCGGTGAGGAGGCGGTAGGCATTGTCGTCTTAGAAAAGGTTAATCCTGTAATTTGGTTGATGATAGCATTTGAATCCTGGCACCTGCTCCCTAGTCCCTACTAACACCACGTTTTCTGTTAGGCTGAAGCACCGGTTGTATCTTATAGAAGGTTAACCTTGTAGTTTGATGCTATTCTCAAATGATAATGATAAGATTTGAATTCTGACACCCACTCCCTAGTAGCACCACCTTTGCCATTAAGCTAAAGCACCCGTTTGCATCCTTTGTATGCTCGTAGTTAACTTAATGAAAATTGGATGAAACTTCTACATTACCTCGTATAATTTGGGGTGTTGACAGCTTTTTCGAACTTTTGGTTGTAAGCAACGAGAGTAGTAAGAGAAAATAGGTGGTTGGCTGAGAAAGAAATTTGGACAAAGAATGCCCTAGGTGGATTGCCTTTTTGGAGGCCGCTAAGATTCAGAGTCTTACTGTCTATTTATCTCACAGAGGTCTATGGAAAATTCTACAGAAACATCAGCACCTTGTTGCAGTAATAAACAGGCGATAGAACATTTTTTCTCCGTCTTTACATTCAGAAAACAAAATAAAAAAAGGTTGGAGTAAGCTGTGACATTTTTTTGGGCGGCGACAAGCAGCCTTTTGTGTTCCTTGGACTGATGGGTCACTTCTTCCTTTCTGTACTCTGATGTTTAAGCAGTGCAAAACTAGCGACAGTGGTTGCACTGTCAACAAGGGACCTTCATCACATCTTTGTATATAGAAAAGATCTAGGACCAATTTTTTAAGGGTTGTCGGTCAGAGACCAGTTAGTTCAAGCTGTGCTCCAATAATTGAGATTTTACTTGGTTACCTTGAAGCATGAAGGCTTGCTGATTGTCATTAGTTAAGGTGACCAATCATTAAGTCAGCCAAAAAAGGGGTACTATTGTTCTTCAGGTTGCGCCAAGCCATGCAATCTACTAGATGGGGAATGATGAGAAAAAGTGACCATTATCCGGAATCCCCAAACCAAATATCAAGTCTTGATGGCTGAACAACAGTGATTTCTGAGCTTATTATTGTCTTTTATACTGCTCAACCATCCATGGTGGGTTTTCTGTCTAGTTCTCTAGGATGTTACTTAGTTGAAAATGCAGCTGGAGTAGTTTTAGCTGTGCTTGCTCTGCTAAAGGCAAGTATGATCTTATGATATCGGTAATCTCTGAAAATATGCCTCCATTACAAAGGTGCAGAGAATATCTTAGATTCTTTCACTGTCAGAAACAGAGAAAAAACAATACACCTAATAGTGCTCCTTTACTCATGATCGGCTGCTCTAATGGCACTTAGAACTCAGGTCATGCAGAGCTTTGGTCATCTTTGATTGTTTGTTTTTGGAGCTTTCAATGTGTTGCCTTTTGCAGTGTGCTTTATAGTTAGGTAGTCAATTGCAAGTCCTTTCATCACCTTGAACTTGAGTAGTTTAAAGGGGGTATTATTCTGTTTCACAAAATGACAAGTCTCCGGACGGCTTCTGTATAATATTTCTGAAACCAATACAAATTTGTTGGATCCTTGTATGGATAGTTGTTTTCTATTAAATGGATCTTTTCAGTCGAGTCAGACAAACCATGTCTTTTTTGATTAAAGAGTTATTTAGGTTCAGGAAGGGTTCCATATTTTTTTTTTTTGACACAAGCTTATTAGATATATAGCGAGGACTGTAGTTGTGCATTCCATGAAGTCGATCATTTTTTTTCTATTGTTGTGTAGTTTGGTCTTTGTTTTCTTTTGCATCCTAATAATGATGGCCTTTCAAAACTGCTCTTCTAATATGTCTATATCTCCAATTTGCTTCTTCTGCTTCCTTTAACTATCCAAATGATTTGTAGAAACCATTTGACTTAGAATCCAATGGCATTGCCCCAGAATGTCCCTTCGTTTTGATCCCAGAGGTTTATTCTGTTCTGACATCCTTATCATAGTTATCCTCAAGTTCAGAAAGACATTGGAAGATAACTTTCTTAAAACTAGTTAAGAAATGTGGTTCCTTGATCATATATTTTTTGTGGTTGCTTCTAGTTTATGGTAATTGCTAGACTTTGGATGATCAAACAATCATGTAAAGCCAAGAAAACTTGAAGTGAAGATTAACAAAAACATCTTTGAAGTGCTAACAATCATATAATTACAACTTATAGGCAACATGCTTTTGCTGAATTTTGTTAGTGTTGTATGTAAACGACTGCCTGCATATTTTACACCATACGCTTAACGCTTCATTCTCTGTTTCTGTAAAGCTACATGTTCTGTACTTTAGGTGGGTTTTTTGGATTATAGTTATGAATGTGAGCAGTTATCTTATGGTACATTGAATTTGTTATTGTTCTGATTAGTTTTTAGACACCCGCTTAAACAGACCACATGGGTCATGTATGATTGAACCTACCACTTGAATACTCTACTTATTTTCACAATGTTTCCATACCTAAAGCTTCTTACTTTACTCTTTAGTTCATACATTTCGTTACAGAGATGATATATCATATTGCCGACCATGACAAAAACCTTAGCTGATTATATTTTCTTGTTCTTTCATAATAACATGATGGGCACGGATCGCGACAAAGGGTAAGCTCAGTTTATTTGATGGATTAAGTACACCAAAATGTCAATATCATTGAAAACGAGGTACTATAAAAATCGCTTGCAAACAACCTTGATAACGATTAGGGATTTCGTGTATATACACTCATAATTAATTGTAAAATAGGCGTTATTGTTTTTTTTATTGTTGTTGTGTCTATATTATTATAATTATTCTAAAGTTTAGATAAATTATTTTCTTAAATTGTAAAGGGTGTGTACACTGTTGGTGCTTATGGCTGCATTTGAGTATGATTAAATAAACAAACCGGAGATTTAAAATAATAGATGATGACTAACTTCATGCCCATGCTTTGGGCCCTGCCTCAATCACCATAAGCGGGACCCACTTAAAAGGCTCACTTTCCTCTCCAATGGTTGAGACTTCTTAGCAATTTTTTTCAAATTTTCTTAAGGCCCTTGATCTAATCCAAATCTTTTAAGCTTTGTGGAAAACCTCATCTAAGGAACACAAGGATTGGCTGTGTGACCAGTTTACTGTGTTTTTTTGGTGCAAAAGTGGTCCATTCCAGCTAATTGATGGCACCACCTTTCTTTTAATTTGGCACACATTTTCTTGGTTGGAATGAACCATCAATGGTGCTAGAGTTGGCCCACCTAACTATTGAGTCTTTTTCACTTATCATAATTTTTTTTAGTTTAATAGTGAATGGTATTCAAGTCAATTTATGCACACCTTAATTAATTTTCTTTTAAGTTCGGTCAAAGACAGACTATTCACACCGGGACTAGGGTATTTAAAAGGAATAAATTTTTCATAGTTTAACTCTAATGAGTTGTTAAAATTTAAATTCAAGACATCTAAATTTACAACTTGTTTTGATTGTCCGTTGAAGTACTCTCGTGCTTACTTATGATATTTTTGATTTTGGTTCGTTTTTCCCTGTGAAATTGACATGGCAAATACAGAAGAAGAGAACCAAACAAAAACAAAGGGAAAGGAGAGGAGGAAAAAAGAAGACGAGGCAAATGATGTTGTTGGTCAATGTTCTTACGAAGACCATGGTCCGTAGCTAGCTTGATTAACTATAATCAAGTGGAGTGGTGCTTTTGGAAATGATTGCATGGTTCACTTATTAGTGGTGTCAAGTGTTTGTTGTGATAAAGTTGTATAGCCACCTTGTTATCGATATCAATTATCCTAGTTGACCCAAACCAATGTTATTGGATCTTTTTTCTTTTTTGGTACCAAAACTAGCTTGCTATGGTTGGGTGCCCGTCTAGTATCGTGTTAGGTTAAAGTAGGATTATTTTAAAGTCGGGTTAATCTTTATCTCATTCTTTTATTTCATATTGGGTTGATATGTTAGTGTCAGGTTTGTATCATAGTAAGTTATTAGGTTAGACTGGTGAGTCAAATGGAGTATGATCCAAATTTAGGATTAGATTTATGCTTAATAATTCAATGTTTATTTTGTATTGAGTTGACAATCATGATAAATTTTTTTTAAAAAAAAATGTAATTTGAACCTAAAAATTATGACATCGGGTAAAATTTGAATTACTTAAAAATTTGAGGATGAATTTTATACCATTGATCAAAATAAATAAAAATTAAATTAATCTAAACCATTGTTGTGTTTTTATAAGTTAAAAATTCAATTTCTTAGTTGTAATATTAGATAGATATTACAAATAAGAAGTTGAACTCTCAACTTATAAAAGTACAACAACGCTCAAGATTAATCAATTTTTCATATACTTTGATCAAATCATACAAAATTCCACTTAAAAAATTTTTTCCACTCAAAAACATCAATTTTTTTGTACGTCTCCTAATGTCAAACAACTCAACCACCACACTCCTCAATATCAAACAACTTCATTAATCTACACATTCGTCTCTCTTCTCTATCTATTTTTATTTTTTTCTATGTTTATTTTAATTTTAAACTATATGATTAAAAAAATATTATTAAAAATATAAATATTACACGATCAATATTTAATTTTTGATATCATAAATATCTTTAAGTACGAGATTATTACTATAACAAGCCCCTTAGGACGAGACCCATTGGAGATCGTTGTAAGCATTCATCACGACACGTGTACGGAGGATAAGACCTGATCAATACTATGCGGATTAGAAGTTGATGTAAATGTTACACCCGCAAACACGATCGACTTCACAAGTGTAAAACTATTTTCTCAAACCGAACAATTCTGTTGAAGTCGTTTGTGTTAACTGAAAGTCGTATTTATGAATCGAAATTTCAATACAACATCATCTACCTTAACTTAAGATCATGCTTTGAAATCACTTGGTTTTATTAAAAAATAAAAATAAAAATAAAAATCTGCCAATCACTTAGGTTAGAGAAAGAACTCCTTAATGTGACAACACATAGTGTGAAACATTCTCGCACGCACTTTACATAACACTATAGACATAGAAATGGAGGAAAAGGAACACACAATTATCTTCCAAACACAGCACTAGAGCTACACATTTTTTTGAGTAATAACGTGAATATCAAATAGTTATTGAAATATCGTTTACCAAATAAATATAAGTGATTGAATCAGTAGATCTTATCAAAAAAAAGCTAATATAACTCATTGATCTAACAATACACGCTATTTTCATAAGCAAAATTCTGCAAACTATTTGGTAAGTATAGCAGTGTGATTCTTTTCTTGTGGAAAGTGTACTGATAGAGCACTTTATATTTTTTTAGCTAAGTGGGTACAGTGCTTTTGTCATGAAGAAGCCTCCTAGGAGTGAGGAATTTAGTTTAGACAACATAAATAGATGCTCTCATAAGATAAGACATGAAGTGCCTTTTAGCTCTCTTTCAATCATGTAGGACAAAGGCAAAGCTGATACATCTGCTTATTTCTCAAACTTCAAATTTCAAATCCTTCCCACTTTTCTACATTCTGTGTTTTATTTCTTTGGAAGAAGGAGGGTGACAACTAAACATTTACTTTCCGAAAAAAAAAAAAAATTATTAGAACACATTCGAATGCAAGATAAAATTAGAGGGGATGAGTAAATCTAATTTACTCTAATCCCTTGCAAGGGGAATAAGGAGGTGAGATTGGGGCAACACGAAAGTGGGTTAATTTTCAAGTATAATGTTTGATTCGCACAAGATAAAAAAGTGTGATTAGCTTCTATTTGTATAAAATATCTTCCATTCATCAAATTTTGAATGGTGTGGCGGTGGCGGTGTTTCTCGAAATTGTAGCAATCGTGGTGGTGGTGGATGATGAGGATTGCCAATTTTGTAATGATGAACCTGTGATCTTTTGAAGTCTTATCTCATCCTCTCCCTTTCAATTCCCCCCCCCCCCCCCCCTCCCTCCCTCCCTCCCTCCCTCCCCATGGGATTTAGATATCCTCTCAAGGGGTTGTGAATTTGACCGTTGGGGTTAGTTTAACATTAGGTATTTGAAACAATACCTACTCAATTTTCTCTTCTAAACTCAGGATATGGGGGGTCCGAACTATTTTTAGTCCAATGGCATGAAATTATCTACGACCAAAAGCACATGTATCACATTTCAATGTACGACACATCTTAGCCCCAAGTACTAATAATCAAATTAACCATGGTAATTTATGTAAATGAAGAACACTATGACATATGGTAAAAGCTAAGAAAGATAACTTCAATGAGTAGCTCAAGTGATAATAGAGAAAAACTGTTAACACATATATTATGAGTTCGATTCTTGACAACTCTTTAAGGTCAGACCATGACGGTTGAAAAAAAAGAGTTAAGAAAGATAAATCAAAATGCTAGATTCCGACTAGTATGCCAAAGTTGAAAGGTAAAAGATAGCTTCATGGGTGTGCGTGTGTATAAAAAGTCAAGAGCTTTCACCAGATAAAGCTTTGGGTTTCTTTCTTTCTTTTTATAGATGCTTTTGCCACCATAACTTCTCCAATCAAATCTTCTTAACTTTCATGCATCGTTCTGTCTCTTTCTCTCTTTCTTTCAGCGTTGGAAGAACGCCTCCATCAATTTTATATAAAAACCAAAAACCCAAAAGCAAGCACTCATTCATGTCTAAAGTCATTGAAAAATATTAGCAAATCCTCACAATTCTCTCTCTTTGCTTTCTCATCTCCTCGCTTGGGGTCCAAAGCTTGTCCAATTTCCCTTTCTCTTTGGACCAATACGGTCGAGTGGAACTTTGGCTCCACAAGCCACTTAATTGGACAACTTGGGTAGCTTCTGAGTCAAGGGATTTGGATCGTCTTTTATACACTTTCACTTAATTTTTTTAATGATATATGACTCGCCGTGAATTAATGAATGTCAATTCATATATAATATATACCACTTGAATTTATAATAGGTGCTCTAATAATGAAACAAATTGAGTCAAATATATGATATTATCCTATGTTGAAGCAATTACAATATAAATTAGTTATCAACAAGAGGATCAAGATTGACTAGAGTTTCGGAATTAAAGGGCGGTAGTTGCACAAGAGAAGATGATAAAAGAGAAACTATCAAGGAATCGGTGTAACTGTTGACGGGAAACGCGTATAAAAGGGGCGTCAATTACAAGTGGAAAGACATGATCAAATCCATCAAACGCTCATGACTTGGACATTTTAGGAGCAGAGCTTAGTGTAGTTTCAAGTAAGAGTTAGTGTTGTGGTTAAGTTTCAATCCAAATTAATAAAAATACTCTCTTTTGTTAATCTTTGTTATCATTTTCCTTACTTTAAGCTTCTCTATTGAATTTATCCAAGAAAGTCTTGAAACAAGACAGAGTTGAACTCCAATCCAAATAATCGCCTGAAACAACTCTGTCGAAGGGATCCTGTGATCTCTGTTTATGGACCAACACATACACCTCCCATATTCTTCCTGGACTTTTGCTAAAACTTTTCTTATGTCCTCTTGCCGATTGTATGTTAACTCATCAAAGGTCAACCAAGCAATATTAAATTTGGGTGTGTATTTTTTTTTTTTGTCTTTGTTTCCTCTCTCTCTCATGGTCAATGCTTCAATGATTAATCATCTAGTCCAAGTATTTGCAGTCTTGCAGATGCCAGATCACTAGCAAACAAGAGAGATTGCACTTAAAAACTAAGATAAGGTAAGAAGGGTAATCCTGAAGGTGACTTCAAATCTAGTAAACCAATTCAAAATCTCATAAAAGTGTGTATGTCCAATAGGTCTTGATCTTTAAGCAAAATATAGAAAAGTAACTTGATTTTTGTGTTATAGTCATGAGCCAAACATGCGTATCGTTAAAATGATTCTTTGCTTAAAAAAAACGTAGAATAAAAATTCCCATGACATCGACGTTAAACTTTACAATTTGCAGGGAATGTTAATATGAAAATCAAAGATAGTATTTTAGAATTTTGAACAGTAAACAACTCCCCTGTGGCAGATGTTCCCTGACGTCGGTGACTTTTTTGGCATCATTGTTTGAGTTTGAAAATAGGAGAAGACTACGGTGCTCGGAAAAAATTTCAGTTTCCGTACTTTCAATTTTTATTATTTTTGTGGGTAATTTTACCACCAAAAAAATTTATAATTTTTGTGGGTATTTTTATAACTTTTGTGATAAAGTAACTGTTTTTATCCCAAAAGTGATAAATAACGATACGATACTGATTTTTTTTTCCAGTACCGTAGACTACTCCTTAAAAATAATATCTCCAAAATGGAGGTAAGATAGTAGTAATCTACTATTTACTTTTCTTTCTTATATCTCGTTATATTTAAAAGTTGAGTACCAAATACGTTATCTCTATTTTAACACCAGTTCAATCATAACGACACTTAGTTGATGATTAGCAAATTTTGAAATTTCTGAATTGAAATCTATGCATCTCCTAATGAAGATAAGCACAAGCATAAACACAAATCACAGGCTGCGGCATGTATAAGAATGACATCTGAGTCACAGAGTTGAGTTTTACACTAAGCTTGGAGGGATCATGACATGCCATATGATGTGAAAGAAATAAAAGGGTGGAAAACATAATTTACCAAACAATGTCAAAGAAAACAAAATAATAACAGAGGTGAAAATAAATATGGAATGATTTTACTACAAAATGGAAATATTATAATCATCAACATGTTTGTTTATAGTCAAGATGACTAATGATTCTGATTGATACATCGAAATTGTTTTTCCCTATTTGTATAGTATCGGCGCTACAAAGACTAAAAAATTATACAACTAATCAGCATGAACACTAAATGAGTCACGTTAGTGTCAAACTTGGATTGCTGACATTTTTTCTAAGATGTGGATCAAGTAAATTTTAAAGTTATGAAAACCTATCTTTCTTGAGATAAAAAATGGTGTTCTTATATATGGTTTTCAGATCTTAGGTTATACAAAAATAACACGAATATCATATAAAAGTAAAACAACCCAAAATGACATGACACGGCAATATCATGAATTTGAAATGCAAGACTCAAACAAAACACGATACAACTCAATTAAAATTAACATCTCTATCTAGGTTTTGATGTAGTGGAGATATGATGACCCTCTATCTTTTGCACAAAGTCATTTGCCAAACCCCAGCCCAAAAGAATGTTGATCTTAGGCCCCACTCCACTTAGCCCAGCAGACACGTGAAGTCCACCTAAACCCCTTCTCAGACTAGGGTTGTTAATTGAGCCTGGGCTCGGCTCGGCTCGGCTCAGCTCAAATAAATCTTACAATCATGATTTAAACAAGATAAATTTGAATAATTTTTTAAATTTATGTAAAAAAATAACTTAAAAGATTTTATTTCAACTCACAAAATTTAATTTTTTTATATATAAAATAATCAAATTATTCTGTCACACCTCAAATTTAGCTCATTTTAGATGCGATTTGAACTCGGATGAATTATCAATCTTACTCCTCACTGCCCTTCCCTCTCTAACCCTGAGTCAAATCCTTTACAAATCCTAGCAAAACCTTTGAGATTTACATTCACATTCACATTCAAAGCACCGTATCTATAAACAGAAGGCTCAAATGGGTATAATCAAAACCAGTTTTTCGTTCATGACGGGGACGGTGTTCGGGGTCTACATAGCCCAGATCTACAACGTTCCCAACATTCACAAGCTTGTCAATTCTGCGCTCTTGATCGCCAAGCACATTGAAGAGAATTATCGGAAGCCGAAGAAGAGGGAAGATGATGAGTAGTTGCGGAGACACAACCACCATCGTTTAACCCCAGGTTTTATTAGCTTTATTTTTTTTTTCCCTGCGGAATTCTATATATAGAATGGTTTATATGGGGATTAGAGTTGGTTATGATCAATTGCAATTGGAATTTTTATTCAAATTTGGAGAATTTGATGATCTATTACCAGTTTTGTGGCTTTCATGGAATTTGATTCATTATTGTCTTAGCTTCTGTTATAGCATGACTGTCTTTTGAATCGCATGCGTGAACAATGGTAATGTATAAGTGCTGACAATTCATTCACTCAATGTCTGAACTATACAAAAAAATTATGTGAAAACTGGGTGCGTCCTGTATTTTTATTTCATAGATCTTGATAATGCAAATGCTGATAATTCCAATAACATATTCAGAGACTAAGGGCGGAGCTATGATTTTTGTTTATCCCGGATTAAACTAAGCATTCATAAAACTAACAAAATACAAATATTTTTTAGTGAAAATTGAAAGTGAGTCCCTCTAGATGTACTTATTTGGAGATAAGTCCGATAAAGAAACTTGTAAAGGATTAAGTTCATGTTTAAAATTATATATAATGACTTAAATCTATTTTTTTTTTTTTAGTTCATGTTTAGTCTATCTATATCCATATATAGGTTAAGAGTTTGACTAACATTAAAATATTTTCTCACTCCGATCTATCTATATCCATATATAGGTTAGGTATATATATATATAGTAACATTCAAATACAGAAAAAAGTTATTATGAATTTGAATAGTAAAATTCAAATTCATGTTACTATTTTTTTTTATTATGTTACTGTTCATATAATTGCTTTTATTGAGTATGTAACTGTTCATATAATATTATTTTTTAACATGTTAATGTTTTTGTTGAGCATGTAACTACAATTGTTTTCCTAAATATTAATATTTAATGTTACTCTTTTTTTTTTGAATATTACTATTTTTTGTATAATGGTATTATTTTTTGGTTATGAATTTGAGAGAAATAATTATTGTTAAGTATGTTACAGTTTTTGTTAAACATGTTACTATTTTTATTGAACATGTTAATATTTTTATTGAACATATTACTGTTGTTATTTTTTTAATATTGAATGTTTCAATTTTTTTTATGTTTAAATATTACTATTTTTTTGTGTTTAAATGTATTATTTTTTGTGTTCAAATAATAACTTTTTTTTGTATTTGAATGTTACTATTTTTCATTTTTAATGTTACTATACACACACACACACACACACACACATATATATATATATAAAAATAGATAAGAGAGAAAAAAAATTTTACTGTTAGTCAAACTCTTAACCTATATAAGCTTGTTTGGTAGAGGTATTATGAGGGTATTAAATATTTAATTGTATTATTTTTTATTTAATCGGGTCTAATACTTTGTTTGGTAAGTAAATTTGATATTGTATTAATTTCAAAAACGTATACTTATCGTATATTTTTTAAAAATTATATCTGTATTGTGGAAGTATTTTAACACCACCAAAAGAGGTGGTATTATAATCCAACTCAAATGTATTATTTTACACATTTACCATTATAACCCCCCAACTGATAAAATCAAATTGTTATCAATGTAACAAATACTAATTTTGGATATTTTTGTTAATTCAACATTAATACGATAAAATAATTCCTTAACCAAACAACCGATTGGATTAAATAACTATTATTCAACGTTTATGTTGTGTATTACTAAACACTAGATAAAATTACGCATTATTTTAATACCCTATTTAGTCTTATTTTTTGTCCTGGTGTATTGTATTAGACCGGATTATTTTATCTAATTCATTCATTTCTAATACGGCAGCCAAACGAGCCCTAAGTGGACTAAAAATAGTATTGTAATATTATTTATTTAATTTAATCTAATATTTTGTTTAGTAGATAAATTTGATTCTGTATTAATTTTAAAAATGCATACTAATCGTATATTTTTAGTACCATAGACCTGTATTATAGAAGTATTTTAATACCACCAGAAGAGTTGGTATTATAATCCAACTCAGATATATTATTATACACATTTACTATTACAACCACACAGCTGATAAAATCAAGTTGTCATCAACGTAACAAAATTTTCAACGCATTGATTAAGGATATTTTTATTAATTCAATATTAATACGATAAAATAATTTCCTAACCAAACAACTGATTATATTAAATAATTACTATCCAACGATTATATTATGTATCGTCAAACATTAGATAAAAGTATATATTATTCTAATATTCCTATTTAATCTTGTCTTATATCCATTTATATTGTATTAGAATATTGTCAAGGGTGCTCTTTAAAATAGTTAATCAAATATATTAAAATATTACATTCTTTATTTTAAAAAATCATTTTTACATAATTATTCCAACCATTCTTTCTATTAGAGCTAACTACTATTAATATTTTTAGTCAAAAAATATTGCATAACTTGACATGTCATCAAAATGTAAAATAGTTAGCCCTTTGAAGTGCAAAAAGAGTGATTTAACTCTCCAAATATAAAATAAGTAGTCAAAGAGGCTATCTAAATGTTGATAATCATTTAATCCAAAGATAAAATAGTTAGCCTAATAGCTAACCCCTTAAAGTAAAATTTTGTGATTTAACTCTTTATTTTAGCTAACAAATATAAAATAGTATAAAAATAATAATTATTTTTATCACTTTTTTTATATAATAATAATAATAAAAAAAAAACACTCATAATAGTGATAAAAATACCTATAAATATAATAAACATTAGGGGAATTCTACGGTACCGAATGAGGTACCGTATTGTCGGTTACAATCATTTAAGGTTAAGTTATAATTTTTTTGAAGTGTAAATTATAACTTTTAACTGTCATGATCGATCATGATAAATTAAAATTGATATCGAGTTACAACTTTTAAAAGTCAAGTTATAATTTATAAGAGAGAAGTTATAACTATTTAGGTGAAGTCCATGATCAATAATATGTATCTGTGATCAATTATGATCCCTTTTAAGCAGTTGTAATTTCTCTCTTATAAGTTATAATTTTATCAAAAAATAATAATAACAAACAGTATTGTAGCCAAGTTGGTACCGTAGAATTCCCCTAAACATTAATATGATATCAAAATTTTATTTTTTTTGGGAAGGTAGAAAAATCCAAAAAGAGGAGATTTTCAATCAAGTGGTTGAGTAGGTGTAAAACTTGAAAAAAAAAATAATTATTATTATTAAAAAAATCCTAATTAAAGGGGTAAAATAATAATTAATTGTTAAATTGCAGGTCAAAAATATAAATTTCAAAAAAAAATAATAATAAATTTATAATATATATATATATATATATAGATAGATAGATAGATAAGTGGAAGATCCACTTTTTGGTTTTGTTGGGGGGAGATGGCGAGACAGAGAGTGAGAGAGAGAAAGGTGAGTGTTTATTTTTTTTATTTTTCTCTTTTTTTTTTTCCTCAGATCTATGAAGATTGGACCGTTTAATCGCTTCGAACTAAGAATTAAAGTTGCTATACTCAACTACATCAAATATCGTATTTTTCTCCGAAAGAATATCAAAGTCGATAATCTAGGCCTAAAACTTAGGAAGTTAAATTTGGGCTTCCTTGGAGTTCTAGTAAGTGGGCTTACGCTACGAGAGGTAGGGTTTTCCCTATTTAGATATAATTTCAACTTAAAATATGACATATGGAATGGGTAGGCTATGGATGTATATCACATATTAGATCTTGATTAGTGTAACTAGTGGATCAAATGTAAGATTTATAATTAACCTTGTGATTAATAAAATTCTATTATGATTAACTTGGTGTAAGTTAATGTTAATGGTTTAAAGCATGTTAATTGTATATTAACATTATTTTATGTTTTAATGGCATATCAAGTTTAATAAAATTTTTAGCTTGTTATGTGATTATGAAATAATATATATATTAAAAGATTATTTAACATAAGATTATTTTGGTGGACTTGTGCTTATGTTTATACAATTAATAAATATGTTGTCATGTTGAAAGTCATAGTATGCTAGTTGTGTAAATTGATGTGTTCTTTAGGTGTTTGATTAAATGTCTAGGTAAATACAAGTATGTTAGTTGAGTTGATTATCTTACATAATATACTTGAGATCGTGTTAAAATGTCATTATATTGTATTCATTATGTAATGGATATTGTATTGCATTATGCATGTGTTGCACTACATTCATGGGCATTGACATGGGTGGGAGTGTATGATCACCACATAGGTGGTTGATCGTGGGCTTGAAAAAGTCACACCAAGGTTTGACTGAGTCGCACGGAAAAATTAAATAATTAAATGTGTTGAGGACAGCAAGAAGAGCTAGATTCTCCCTCGAGTGCAAGACCCGCTTACTTGGTTTATACATTTTTTCGGCGGTGAAATTCCAGAAAAATGTAACGGCGGAAACGGAGCTGCAGGTGGGATGTCTTGAAGATCCGTTGATGATTGGTGTCTCATTGGTGTAATACCATAAATCACCTCCCAACAAAGACATAAGAAAATGAATTAATTAGTCATTGAGTATACATAACACCAATGATAGGGCTTGGAATACCCGGATACATACGCATGACATTGCATGTATTATGAGAGCTTAGGATGGGGCTCGGGGTTGGAATTGTTTGTGTGAGTCTCATCTCATGACATGACATGATTTATGACATTCGATCATAATAGACATATTTGAATGGATGTATCAAATTATTGTTGCATGTGACATTCCATATGCATTTAGGTTGAGAGGTATTCTCTATAGGAGTTACCCTATTGAGCGTTGACTCACCCTTTATGGGAACATTTTTCAGGTATCGCACAGGCGTCCACCGAAGGCGAGGCCATAGGCCCGCTTTGACGACAGAGCCGGTCTGTGGCTCTTATTTTGACATTGTTGTCCATTGTTTATATTTACTTTTGACCTTATATAACTTTTGTAACAAAAACTTGTTTATATTTACAAAGGCATGTATATGAGACCTCTTTTGGGACATTTATTCTTTTACAAATAAATGTATGTACTGATGATAATTATGGTAGTATTCGATACTATACAATTGTGAATGAATGGATAAACCCGGTATGGTCAATATTGTACAGGTTGCGTTTTGGGTAGAGCTCCTCGTACAAAGGAGACTCTGCCCAAATTTTGTTAAGTTATGGATCCCGATAAATGGGGCATAATGGTGTAGTATCGAATTACACGGTATCCACAAGTATTTTGCGGGTCGATGGGTAATTAATCGGATAATTACAGCCACCCGAATTTTGGGATGTCACAGTTGGGAATCGAGGAAGGAACAGTTCCATAAAGAGCAATGTTATTGAGACCTAATTTATTAATTTAATTCACTATAACCTTTAAATTGACTGTGAGTTCCATCAAACATTAGAACTTGGTGTTAATCCAATGATTCCAATAAAGCCACGTCATTAGGTCAATAAATTATGTCAGATTTTTATGTCCAAATAACATTTTCCGTCTCATAAAACGGTGATTGGACGACATTGATCTAGGCATGTGTGAAACCTTAGTACCAACCTAAAAAGTCTTTCTTCCTTACAATTTAATGATTTATTTATAATAATAGTTTGAGACTAAACTATGAAAGTCAGTTTGAAATTAACGTGGGAATTAAGCTACATTTTTCAATCAGAAAAAAGCAAGTTTAGTCTTTGTGTTCCAACTTAATGAGCCCATGGACCGCTTAAAAAAACAAAAAGGGTACAAAACTGAGGGAAGACTTGTTATTATATTTCAACTTTGAGTAATTAAAGTTATTATGATTTAAAAAATTAATCTAATTTATCAATTTAATAATATAACAATGACTAATCTAATAGTATTTCTTGTGATTGCTCAAAATAAGCTTACACCAAAATAACCCCGATGGTAAGGAACCTTGTTACTTTTTGCATGTACTCTCCATAGTGATAACCTACTTTTTGCGTGACTATCAATAGTGATCTTTCCCTTCATTTGGACAATAAGTTTTCCTTCCACTTTGCAATCGGTGGACGTTGTACATGACAAATCGAGATTTCAAAGATCTCATCAATGTCACGAAGAATAAAGAGATACCATCTATACCCAAATAAAAATGAATATTTCATAAGGAAGTCATTGAAGACTCTCCACAGATTGAGATTCAACAGCAGAAGGATTGCATTGTATCTCTAAGTACTGATTATGATTAACAATGCTTTCTTGCCGCTTCTTTTATGTAACTCTTGAATTTTTTTCATTGGGACTCTATTGTTTGATAAATTATTATATCAATAAATTAAATTAAATTTTAAATCCCAACAACATTATTCTATTATACCCCATGTCTACTAAACTCTAATCACCTTTTGACTTATTAATCACAGATTAGCATTCGCGTCAATGCATGTGAAATTCAAGTTTCAACACTCCATTTTTCGACGAGTAGTATTCCTAAATATACTTTTACCAAGAAATAAAAAACTAATGGGGGAGTGGAATTTTCCAAACATGTTGGGCTGCTTCTGAATAAACTATTAATTATGACTTACATATATGCATACCACCCATCTCCTGTCTTCTGCTCTGCGCCTCTCTCTCTTTCTCCCTCGTCTAAGGCAGTCAATCTTATCTGATCTACCATCTTGATGAGACTTTCGAGTTCGAGACGAGAATCGTTGTTGATGTTGAGGCGGTGGAACACTCGAAGCCCTTCTCAAACTCAAACTCGAACTCGAAGCCGAAGCCACTATCGAACTCGTAGCCTTGAGCCTTGGGTAGCTGATGAACTCCAATCCAAAGAGAAATTGGGTAGCTGATGAACTCAGAATTTTTCATAATCAGATCCTTGAGCTTGCGCTCCTCAAGGTATTTAAGTTGGTCTTCTTTAAGGTAGAGGGTAATCTTAGTGTCTCTGCCCCGCAACTCACCCCGATGTGTCTCTGGTTACAATGAATGACCCACCAGCTTGGAACTCCCATAATTGTACATCCCTCTCAACAAGTACATCTCTTTCTTGGTAATTTCTCTACTATTTTAGTATTGACTGTATTGTAGATTAACTTGGTAAATTAGTTGATGATACTCGATATTACATATGAAATTAAGGGAATGGATTTTGGCTTAATTGTTATTGATTTATCTATTTGACATATGAAATTGGGTTTTGGCATATGACATATGAAATTGGGATTAACTGGGTTTTGACATATGAAATTGAGGTTTTAATCTGTTTGATTAAGAGTTAGGTGGAGGTGAAATCTTATTGCCTAATAGAGCTGGGTTTTGGCTTAATTGTTACTGATTTATCTATTTGATTGAGAATCTATTTGGTGATTTTGAGATTTTTGTTTGATCTAAAATATATTAAGCATATAATTTTTGTGATTTTAAGCATATTTATTATTAATAATAATTTTTATTTTTATTTTATTTTATTATCGGTTCGACCAGTGACTCAACGGTTTAACCAGTGACCCACTAATCCAGTCCCTTTCCCGGGTTGATGTCCGGGCCGGGTTTTGAAATTATGCCTACAACAACAATGTTAGCGGGACATAATAATTTGTGATCATTAAATTATTAGTAAATCTCAGTATTAAATTAATTTTATTATCAATTTAATAGTCATAATGCATTATATTTTCAATTTTTTTCCGTATATTTTGTTTTGATAGACCATTACATTTAGAAGTATTTGGATCAGTTTATCCGCACCTTAATTAATTTTTTTTCTGGTCTGATCAAAAATAAGTCATCTAACCGAGACTTAGGTATTCACGATCTCAAGGGGTTGCTAAAATTTGAACTCAAGACATTTAAATTTGTAACTCATCCTTATTACTATTTGAATTATCCATTATAGGTAAGAATTCAATCCTCACTAATACACTTAAAATTAGATTGTATGAATCTCTACATTAAATGAACGGTCCAAATGCATTAGGTCTTAAAATTAGATTTTTTTAATTATAAGTAGTACTATCATTCATTTAATGATAAATCATTCATATTGTATGAATATCGGATTCAATTATAAATAATAGGGTTCAACTTGAATTCCTTGTAAATTATATATTATTCACTAAATTTTTTTTTTTTTTTTTTTTTGAAAAGACAATGAAATTCAAAAAACACATATATACAGAGGAACTTTACTCACTCCTTTGGCACAACATATCTAAATTTGGTAGAAAAACACATAACATATGTCCTTAGTTAATTATGAATCTTGTCAACACAGGCGGGGATGGAAAAAAATGTTGAGAGCTCGACAACCACTGGCAGTGTGTTGTGTTGTGTTGTGATGTATATCACACATAAAATATTAAACTTTATAAGTTTGAATTTTAACGATCCCTTGGAGTCAAGTTATGAATACTTTAATCTTGACATTAAGAAGAAAATTAGTCGAGATGCACGTAAGTTGGTTCGAATATTTTTGAATGGTTGAGCCAAAAATAAATAAGAATATTTTTATCACTTTTGTGATAATTATTTTTATTAATTTTTTTATGCTATAATAATAATAAAATATATATATATATAAATATATTAAATATCGATATAATACTATTTTTTTGTCCGATTCCGTAAATAACTCCTAATTATTAAACGAGAGAGTTATCGTAATGTGACCGTTACGTCAAATATTTTATGTGCGAGTGATTGCTGTGAAGCAGCACCGGAAATTTTCTGGCAGGGGTATGGGTTTTGTGTAGGTAGCGTCGTCCATGCAGCCACATCGGATACTCGAGGTTTAGCCTCATCGTGATTGCGGAAGACAATCTTAAGTAGGTCCCACACACCCTGATGACGTGGCAACACACTTTAAGAGATGTGGACTAACCAAATGGATCCGAGTTTCTTTATTGAGTTGGGGGTGGGACCCACCTCGGGTAGAAAAAGTCACCTCCACGATGATGCTGTGTGGTGACATGACTGCGATTTCTGACTCGGAGCTGACGCGATTGGTTCGTGATTTGGGTCGGCATAAAAAGGGTCTGATTAGGCGTTATAAAAAGGGTCTGACTCGGAGCGTTATTTAGAATGTAAGTGGTTCTACAACGTTATTTGCATTACGTGGGTGTCACTAATCAATAACAAACAAATAAATAGAACATGTGAACACCATTGATCTCATTTACTAAAATTTAACTTCGAATTCAAGATGATTGAGTTTACTGTTCGGTATCGTGCCTTCAAAATTTACTACTTCAATGGGTGTTATTATATTTTTTGTGGGTCATTATACAATAAAAATTTTATCACTTTTATGAGTGTTTTTACCATTTGTTGTGAGTGTTTTTATAACTCAATTACTAGCTCAAATGGTAATAAAAACGAACTCTAAATTCAAACGTCCTAAATTTGAATCTTAACAACTCATTGGAGTCAGGTTATGAAAACCTTAATCTCGGCATTGGGAAGAAAATTAGTCGAGATGCACATAAGTTAGTTCAGATATTTTTGAGTGTTTAAACCAAAAATAAAATAAGAATATTTTTATCACTGTTGTGATAATTATTTTTATTAATTTTTTTATACCACAATAATAATAAAAATAAATATCGATATAATACTATTTTTTTGGTCCGATTCCGTAAATAACTCTCAATTATTAATGTTAATCAAACTCTTAACCTATATATGGATATAAATATATATGAGAGAGAAAAGATTTTAATGTTAGTCAAACTCTTAAAATTTATGAGTTTTTAATTTTTAGTTTTATTTCATTTCTAAATGGAAGGGATAGTATGATAAAATTGATAAAAAATGGACTTCATAACAAATAAGTTTCCTTGACAGATTTAAGTCCAAACAAGTCCATATATGGAGACCGCCTCCAAATTTCCCTATTTTTTAATATATTATGTGGCCCAAAAATTTTGTTTTTAATGTTGGCCCAAAAATTTTGTTTTTTTAATATTGGGTCAAAAGTTTTTGTAATAGGTTTAGGTAGATTTTAATAAGTTTGGGTAGATAATGTTAAACTCAAATTTTTTTGTTTTAAATGGGTTAAATTTTTTAATTTTTTTGGGTAAATAATATGGGTCTAATATAAATGAGGGAGACACACATAATATATTATATAAATATATAATATATATACTCTACTAATAATTTTTTTTTTATGGGGGCCACTTGCCCACTCTGGTCCAACTATCCTTCCATCCTTGCGTAATTCCCGTTTCTGTTCCGATCAAAATAGGAATCGAAAATCCTGAAAAAATCTTTATTTTTATGATTATTGGAGTTTAAGCCTCAAGGGTTTTGAGAAATTAGGTTAATGATTATTGATTTAGTGAGTTAGTATTGGTAGTCTTGTATGAAAGTGATATTTTTTTTTTTTTTTATTCTGGACTTCAGCCCACTATAGCCCAATAATGGCTCCGTCCCTGACAGAGACCAATTATTTATAGCTTGTTACATATTCAGCCTAGCTCATATAGTTTACAATCAGGATCAGAGAAACGTTACATAGCTGTAAAGCACGAGAAGCTATAAATTACATAGATATAAACCACAGGAAGCTATAAATCACAGCTACAAACCACAAGCTTTCTACCACTCCATAATGCAAAGAAAGATATGCCCTCAAAATCCTTGTTTCCTGTAGCCAAGCGTGCTACTCAATAACTACTTGCACCTCGCCAGAACCAGAAGAAGCAATCTCATTATTGGATGAAGAAACTAGAGCTGAGGGGTTTTCGCGCCACTCATCAATATATGCCCCCTGATCAGCATTGAACCTAGGAAGTTCATGCTGTTGAATGATGTTTAGAATCCCTTCAGTTTCACCAAGGAGACAGGCTGCTTGCCTGACACTCTGCTCCCTCTTCTCTATGGCACTAGAATAACATTTTCTAGTTATAATACATGGTAAATTGGTTAGGCAAGCACCCAATATATCCGCAATTATAACAGATAATTGCTCGAACAATTTCTCATCCATCTGGTTGTTACTGCCTTCATAATCCAAGAGCATACTTCGGCTAATTCTGTACATTGAATTAGCAGCTATGATTTTCAACGGCCAGTTAAGGGGGTTCTCCATCAATCTTCCAGTCGTGTTTCTCTTGAACTCCACGACACTCATTTCAGCCATATAAGCTAGCTTCCAAAGAGTCTCCTTGGAGCTTTTACCGTTGATCGACATTTTTTGGAGATCCTCATCGAACCACTTGCGTTTAAGTTCAACTCCTACCCATACGACATCTGCTGCATGTTTTATGGTTAGCAAATCTGCATTGGAGCCCAGGGCTTCCTCTACAAGGTTGGCATACAAAAGACCTTTACTCACACTACTTAGCAACCATTCCACCATGTGTTCCTTAATGTTGGGAAGTGCAATGGCGATGCTCGTCAAGGTCACCACGGGCAAAGTCCAACAATGAGGAAGTTTTCCAGAATCTATACGTGGAACTTCACTGCTGTCAAATTCGGTTACCCCTTTGAAGCTATTGGATTTCCGTAGAAGTTCCATTAGCTTTTCTGGCTGTTGCCTTTTACCCACCTGAATCAATCGGTCCATTTCTTGGCATATATTCTCCAAAATTCTTTTCGGCAGTTTTACCTCTCTTTCTAGTTGTAGAACATAATTACTAAGATCTAGATCTGTACCAGTGTTTGGTTCTGAAATTGCTTGATTAGGTGAGGCATCAGGTTCAGGTATGAACTTCCTCATCAACTTCCTGCCACGGTGAAAACATGAAAGGAATGGGATTACAGAGAAAATGGAGATAAGTCGAACTACTTTGCTAGCTACGACAATCGCAATCTGGACACTAATACAGAAGCTCAAAAGTCGATTTTTTGTATCCTGAACAAGGGTTTTAAATTTTCGACCCATACTTCGCATAACTAAGGGTCTCTCTTTCCACTCTACCAGCCTCTGGATCCAATACTCCTCGGTTTCGAAGTCATTTTGGGAGCTGATGTTATCTTTGTTTGAGCAGTTAAAGCGGATGGCAATGAACCACCTGAATATTGGGGCAACAGTACCCACTACCACCCCGATTGATTGAATCACTAGAATCAGTTTGGTTGTCCGCCCATAATTCGAACTAGTCCATCCAAGATTGTGATATAAGCTCATTCGGATCACTCCTTCCGCTAAAGTGAGAGCAGTAAGCAGACAGATTACTCCTGAAGTAGTACATGTCACAGAACGCGCCATAACAAATTGGGGGCCACCAGTTTCTGCCATCACCCAATACTTTTCCACCAATTCTTTCAATTTTTGAACTGTAAGCTGTCTTGATCCCACTAATTCTTCATCTGAAGCTTTTTGGTGGTACTTCAATTCCAAATATCTTTTAGCAGGTGGAACCATCAAAACCGAGAAACTCAATGTCACCAACAAAACAAGCATGGCAATTAGAACAACTATTTCTTCAGCCCGTATACTGGAATCAATTTCAGCAGTCCCCATTTCAATACAAGCATTTACAATAATGGTGATTACAAGAATACCTAAGGCTGTGATGTTCATGAGAATTGAGTTGTCATCCATGGAGGCGAAAGAAGTCATAGAATGACCCATCACAGTGGTCATCAAAACAGTGCTACTAAGCTTTGCAAGCTGGTCTGTAGCACTCGGCATAGCAGTACTAAGATCCACTGGCAGCTTCATCGCCACAGTTATTACTGTCAGGGAAGCAGCATTGACGGTGAAAATCTTACATGGGAACCATAGTTTTTTGCGGCGGAACCCATTGATGACATCTGCCGCCATTGCGACTGAGCAAACTAGAGATGCTGCTGCAACATAGATGCCGATCCATGGCATAGGTGAGTCGTAAATATTTTGCTTGCAATCCTGGCAGTAATCCGTGCTGTAATCGTCGATCATTTTCCTCCACCCTTTGGCTATTTTTTTGGAACTAAGAGACGTTTTTGTGTGTTGGTTTTGTAAGAGTATCAGGTTTTCGCTCTCCTATAATTTCAGCCTCATGAGGTGCAGAATTTAAATGTGGTGGACGGAGGAGGAGCTTCTTCTGCTGTTTCCTGGAAAGTATGGAGGATGATGTAGATTATTCAATGCAGGATGGCCCATTGACCTCTTTTGTTAAACAGCTAGTACTGCAAAACACGCTTTCTTTCTATTGTCGATAAAGGTTTTCTGTGGTGAAAGAACAAGCATGGTTAAAAGGTTAGTGCGGTTTAAGTATTTATGAGGGTTAAAAAGTCAAGTGTAAATAGACAAGTTTATTATGTTTAAAAAATTGAAATGAAGGTCGTGTGATAAACTAAGATTTGAATAATTTAGGCCGTTGTTGTGCTCCATGCAAATTGCATGCTGTTCTACTAGTATAGGTAGGTCGTGATCCCGAGTTCTGAACTATTTAAAATTTTTACTATGATGAAAATATTAAATGAAATTTTATAATTGTATTTGGCCTTGCTTTTTTATTTTGTTTTTCCTCCCTCCCCTCCCTCTTAGTAAATCAGAGATCCTATGAACGTACTTTCTTCCTACCTGATAGGTTAGGAATATAATATGTATACCCATATGGTGAATCCGTCATTGAACCATTCTGTACCCTTTTGTTCACTTGATACGAACCATGTACAAGTTAATATCCAATTTGTTTTCGACCGTAAACCTTTTTCCAATATAATTAAATCACGAATAGTTTGAAAAAATACAATTCAAATCCAAGACTTGTAAACTGTAATGCAATTTAATTATTCTTTATTTTTAAAATTTACCATATAAATTGGTGAATTATGTGGAGATAGAGACGAACTGTAAATTTAAACATCTTAAGATCAAAATTTGATAATTTCTTTGAAGTTAGTCTCCTAGGTGTTGGCATAGTTTGGTTAGTAGGACGAGTCTCCATCAACCGAAGGAACTCTATCCAAGCGTTAGGTGTGTGTTCAACTCCCAACAAACATTGTGCATATTAAAAAACCGGTGCGCGTAACACTTCTCCCAATGAGAATTACCTCCCAAAAAGAGATAAGATTTGTTTTGAGGGAGGAAATTTCCTTGCATTTAAACTTTTTTTTTTTTTTTTTAGTAATGTTAAATAGATTTTAAAAAAATATAAATAAACGCCACCTACCAAAAAAATAAAAAAAAAAATGAGGTGACGATACTTTTCCTAGTCAAGTTGGTTGACTTGAGGTCTTCCACGGGAGTGTTTCACACCTCAAATAATTTTACATTGTCGGCAAAGTACATCAGAAAGTCGGCATGTGCCCAACACTTTCGTGGAAGAATCATCTGTTTGTACGTTCATCTTTGTTTCAGGGTGGGGCGGCTCTTCCTCCTGCTACTCCGGCCATTTTCGAACCTGTCTGTCTGTCTCACCCCCGTTTAATTCAATGGAGAACTTCTCCATTCTTGTGATCCCCAGCTCACTTATTTGACTATTAGTTTAACATAATTTATTTATTTATCATTTAAACTCGTGAAGATTAAAAATAAATCTAATAATTATATAGTGAGTTGTAATTTTTTTTCTTTTCTTTTCTTTTGAAGTTGTAATTACACTACAATTTAATAGATAGATGAAGTGATTCATCTAGATTTTATAATTAAATAGTACATTATACTTATTTTATGAATCTACCGTTACAGACATTCTAAAAAGTTGCATAGTTGAAATCAATTTTTAAGTTTGAATAATACTTTTTTTTTTTTTTGGTTCAACTAGTAGTTCCCGTGCAATGTATGGACAATAACATTTCTCAGTCCATGGTGTTATTAAATGATTTCTTCACATGTGAAAATCACACACAATAACTAAAATCATAATTATAAAAATAATATAGAGTTAAGCAAATGTTAGGAATAGTGTTTTTATTTCCCTAGTTTGTAATCTTCCCTTTTTTTTTTTAACTCTTTTATGTTTTTTGGTTGAAGAAGAAACAATCACCTCAATTTTCAATCAACATCGAAAAACTTATTCATTCACATTTAATGTTAGTGACAAAAAATCATTGCTTAACCCAATAAACTCTTCATTTGCCATCGTAATAAAGATTCCACATTTGTCATTCCTCATCATCACTTGCGAGTGTTTCTACTTCCCTAGTTTGTAATTCTCTCTTTTTCTTTTCTCTTGTATTTTTTTGGTCTAAGAAGAAACATTCACCTGAATTTTCAAACAGCATTCTAAGAAAAACTAATTCATTCACATTTAATGTCAATGATAGAATATCGTTGCTCGACCCAATAGACTATACATTTGCTACCGTAACAAAATTCCATATTCGTTAGTCTTCATCATCACCATTGACATCTATTTTATTTTGCCACCATTACTTTGCTCGCAATCAATTTTTTAATACTTTTTTTATTTCATTTTTCAAACCCTTAAAAAATTAACTTCAAAACAGGCCCGTCGTAGCAAAAAAATTGATCGAGAACCATATATGATAATCACATAAACAAATATTGTCAGTGAATTTAATTGCAGCATAGACGCTTATTGACAATACTACCACATCAGCTACACCTTTAAAAAAATCTTTATGCCTGCACTACAATAAGTTCTCTATTTGAATAGTTCTAGTCTTACATCCTATCAACTACTAATGCATGACTAATCCATGCATTTTTTTTTTTTTTTTTTGTGATTTTTATGATCAATCTCAATAAAATACCTTCTTATTCGTGCAGGTCTTCTATGGTATAGTAAAGAGTTTTGAACAATCAACATGCATCTCAAAGTAAAAACATGTTTTAAATTCCACCTAAAATTCAAAAAAAAAAAAAGACATGAAAAATGAGAAGAAGTGTCACAACATGAGGAATAGTGTTTTTATTTCCTTAATGTGTAATCTTCCCTTTTTCTTTTTCATGAAGAAACAACCACCTCAATTTTCAAACACCTTCTACAAAAAACTTATTCATTCACATTTAATATCAATGACAAAAGGTCATTGCTTGACCCCCAATAGACTCTACATTTACTATTGTAACAAAGACTCTACATTTGTTAATCCTCACCATCACCAGGGACATCTATATTATCATGCAACCATTACTTTGCTCTTATAGTCGCTTTCTAAAAAAAGAGTGTGATAGGTTTGTATTTGAAATTCTACATCTTCATGTCTCTTTATCTATTTTTACCAAAGATTCGACATTTTCAATCAAATATATTTGTAGTCTATCCAGTATAATATAATTGTTAATGTTGTTATGATTTTCAACATAGCATTACAAATATTCAAAAATGAGCAAAATATTATTTGGACTTAATTCACTATAACTTTTGAATTGATTGTAGTCCTATTAACTATTGAAACTTAGTGTTAATCCCATGTTTATAATGAAATCACATTATTAAGTCAGTAATTTATATTAAATTTTTAAATCTAAATAGCATTTTTCTTCAAAAAATTTGGAGCAAAATGGGTTTCCCGGAGTGGCTAAATAGCATTATCTATATGTTTTTTTGGTGGGGCCAGTATATCTTATATCTATAAGTTTTTTTTGTCATAGATTTTTGTAATGACTATTTGTTTTTTCAACAAGAACAAGAAGATAATGTACAAGTGATTGAAAAGTAGGTGTTTGGTAATAAATAAGGCACAAAATGCCAGCTTTGAGAGCTAAACAAATAGATATGTTAATCTCAAAGTAACTCTAAGTGATAATATAAATGAATTGTAAATCTAGACATTCTTATTTTAAAGCTTGGCAATTCTTTTGAGTCAAATCACGAGGATTTATCTCTTATGAATACCTTAGTTTTTGAGTGGATGACCTACCTTTGACTGGATTGAGAAAGAGATTAGTCGAAATGTGTATAAACTGACCCAAACCGGCCATTAAAAAAAAATAGATGTGTTGTCAAAGTCAGGTCTTTCCCAACAAACCAAAGCAAGAAGTAATATCTTGTACAAAAACACACAATCTACCAAACACCCGAACCACCACCCAAGAAGATCCATCCGCACGTAAATAACATAGATTTGTATAATTGCACTAATTTCATCATTTTGCTGAGCAGAATTTTCTTTTCATTAGTTGAGAATTGAACTAGTGAGCCGTTGTTCCTGCAGAGCTTTAGTTCTGCTCTGAAAATAAGATAAAGAACTTCAGCAGAAAACAGCCATGGAAGCCAGAAAGTTAGATGTCATGGAAGGAATAGTTTAGTTTTGATAAATTTCTAATGGAGAATCTACCATGGAAAAGTTTAGCAATATCAGAACACAGACAACACTAGTGCTGCATAATTGAAACAAATCCCACTTGTTTCAAATGCGTTGCTCCAGCAAGTTACTAGTTATATTGGCTGTTAATTCTTAAAACAACCAGCAAATCCCACACGAAATGACCGAATGTAGGTTTAAATTTTAATGGGTTTAAGTCAAAACCAAGTTAACTGTGGAATCTATTTATCCAATTGAGCGATGTGAAAGTTGTTATATATTATACAAACTCAATTATATATATGATGATGATTAAGAGTTTCTTTGTAAACTCTGATACATCTCTGTTAGAATAAGGGGAGCCTAGCCCAAATGAAATTGGGCATGTTAGAATAACCAAGGGAGAACGACCCAAAAGATGAGCCCAACCTAGTCATCAGCGGGGCTCATTCCAAACCAAGGCCAGGTCGGCCCACCAAAGGTAAAAAGCCCATAAAAACACTCTAGACGGCCCAGGAAGCCTAAGGAATGACAGAAGAAAAAAAATTACTTGACTGAATCTTATCCAAAAAGAGTCACAAACTCTTAGAAGACCACCTCATCTCTAAGAAATGTATTCTCTAACACTTAAATATTTCCTCATGCAATCCTAACAAATTGGAACTATCCCTGCCTCCTCCTACAAACGAGCAAAAGACGCTCTACCGGCCCAACTATGATTCATTTAACCCTTCAGGCCTTTACTACAGTACACGCATAATATTGACCATTCTACGGCTAGAAGAACTCTTCAGCCTTTAATCACTTGGTTCTGTGCAATGTGCAGATACCTGTCAAACATGTGCATTGCAGCTATTACACAATTCCTATCAAAGTAGTAGAAAACCATCTGACCCATATCAAACACAATACATAAAAATCAAGGCACTTCAACCTTCCCCCTCGCCCCTTCTGTTGTTGATCAAAACGACATTAACAAAACGATATCATTTTGAATCAAAACAATGTTGAACATGCCAAAACAAACAAACCACCCAAACAAAATTTCTAGTGGATTGAACATGCCAGGGATTAAGTTGAACATATCAAGGTGATAGATAAGGATAAGGAATTTTCACATTTTCACCCAAACCATCCAAATTGAATCATTTTCCTTTATTGTTCTCTGCATCTTTTGTATTTGGCACCAATAACCTGAGAATGCCATTCTTCATCTCGGCTTTGACCCCATCAACCCTATGATCTTCGGGACAAAACTCAAGGCTACCACCATACTTCCTCCCACAATCATCTCTCTCGTATTCGATCTCGCCTTGGCCAACAAAGTACACAGTGTTCTCCTCCACCCAAACTTTGAATCCGTCATCACCAACACCAGGTAACACTACCCTAACCAGTGTATGACCCTTCACTTCGTCGACTTCGATCACGTTTCGAGGCCCAGTCGATTGAAATGGATTCTCCATCTTGAATTTCTGAGGAGGACCGGTCACAATAACTGTAACACAGAAAAAAAAATTGAAAATCTTGAAATTTTATAGAATTGAGGAAGATTGAAGGTGGGTGTAATACCTACCAGGCGGTTTGTTTAAGCCACAGTTGTCGTCGTCGTCGGTGGTGGTGGTGGCGAAGTAGCGAGTGGCCGACGAAGGGATGGTTCTTGAGGGGGTTTTGGAGTTCACGAATTTGGTGAAGAGAGTTGAAGCTGTTGTGGTCGCTCGTCTGAGAGCCATTGAAGAAGCCATTTTCGCAGCGTTTTCACAGTTCACTTCTCTCTCTCTCTAGGGTTTATAGACGTGGATTGACATTTTTGTTGACTAATTAGCTGTAATTTGACTTGTCCTCCACGATAAGCTGATCCCAACTGACGTAATGTAAAATGGGCTCAAGAAGGCCCATCCACAAAAGCCTAAGCAAAACATAGGATCAATGAAAAACTAATCTTCTTCTTTTTTTTTTTTTTTTTTTTTATACCAAAGAATATAAGCAATTTCTTTTGGCTACTTTTTTTTTTTTTTTTTGATTAAGTACAAACTGAGGTTGTTAAGACTGTTTAAACTTGGTTTGTTCATTCGCAAAGAATTTTTGAAATTGACTTGAAATTGGCTCAAGGTCAGGAGAATTTATAGGCAAATACAAATCTTTGATATCATCTTCAATTGTAAGAGATACCATCAAACAAATAAGCTAGGCGATATTGATTTTCGAAAAGAATTATTACATTGATTTGATAGTTGATGCATAATGTGTACTAAAATTGTCTAACATTCAAAGACCGCGAGGAGAAATCAATGCCATACAACCCAAGTAGTGTCATTTGCTTTGGAATATGATCATCATGCGAATGTCTCAACTTTCTTTGTCATGCTTATAAAGCTCAACTCGTTAATTTTGTATAAAAACTTGGTCTCAATTCAACTAACTAAAAAACAAAGTCGAGTTTGTGTTCAAATGTAGACTTAGGTTTAAATTCATATTTAGTGAGCATATTTTCAGTTATTTATAACCAACTCGATTCATTTACAACTCTAAATTCCAAATTCCTCGCCAAATATTTCAATATGGAGATGAGCATAAGCAATCAATTTGGACCAAAGAATTTAGCTAAATGTACTATTTTATATCACTAAACATATCGTTAATTCTATAACCAAGAGAATCAAACAAAAACACAAACGAAACCTACTAGATGAATTATTCTTTGACCATCTTCACTTGATCTTCACCTCAACCACACCACTCATCTCCTCATACTTCTTCCTCTTCGGAATCACCATCCTCAGAACACCGTTCTTCATTTCTGCCATGATCTTCTCCGGCTGAAACGAACTCGAAGATAGCTCTACGCTTCCACTGTAAGTCCTCCCACTGTCCTCGTGATTCGATTCCTTCTTCCCCTCTCCTTTTATATACACATTCCCATACTCCACCCAAAGCCTCACGTCTTGCTTATCAATTCCAGGCATCTCCATTCTCACAAAGAAGCCATCTTCAACTTTCTTCGCTTCGTACGCACCTTGTGGGCCGGAAATTTGAAACGGATTGTCCGTGTACTGATCACAAACACCTGCAATCAAGAAAATTCACCAAAAATTAACGATGGATTAGATTTTCGACATACATTAGAATTTGAAACGAGAAGGTGATTATGAGATAGATTAAATTGAGATTTACCATGTTGAATGGGAAATTCATAAGAGCGGGTGAAAGATCCGCCATGGGCATTGATGGTGCCGTTTTCGTCGTTGGAGTCGATGATATGAACACTAGAATTGAAGGAACGAATGGATAGTGTTGGGGCAACCATGGCCGAACGGTTGATGAGTTTGGTGAAGAGGATTGATGAAAAGCTAGCTCTCCTCATCGCCATTAACAAAGCCATAATTGGAATTAGAGAGATTGACAATATGCTTATGACCCTAGAACAATCTTTCTCAATGGGAGTTTCTTTTCTTTTTGTTCAAGTCTCGGGAAAAGAAAAGTAGTCGATCACCACAGTACTATCAAAATTAGGAAAAAAATTATGTTGTTCTAATGAATCAAACTCTACTTGATAATCAAATACAAGTCAATGGTGACTTTAAACAAGTACAACTTACTATTAGATTATCAATTCGGGGGATAATTTCATTGTCTCTCTATCTAACTTAAATAAAGAATTTTTTTTTTTTTGAGTCAGAGATACTATTACAAAAAAGAAGAATAACGAAATTCAAACTAACAATTTTAAGGTTCAATAGTGAATTCGATGATCATACCCTAGTTAGCTCAAACAAACTATAATGAGATTTTTATTTATTTTTTAAAGTAATTGTTTACCTCTATAGAGTTATAATTTAGAATTTGGAGTACAAAATTTGAAATTGAGATTTAAATATTGGTTGAAATAAACTAACCACAACATAACCTTAGTGAATAAGAATAAACTGCATCACTACCAAAATATTTTGGGAGATCTATGACTAAAATAATACTATTTAGACTTCTTGAATAGCATCTTTGGTGAAAAACAATTAAACTTCCAAATGAAATTAAAAACCCTGTGGCTCATTGGTCCACGCTAATAAGCCTACTTAAAACTTGAATTTTTTTTATTTTTTTTTCTTTGATGAATAAGAGCCAAACTACAACACAATTCCTTTATAACTTGAATTTAAGAGTTGGATCAAGCTTGCCCATCGGGATGAGGCCCGCAAAATATTAAGGGTAAATTGTACTTTGCAACCCAAAAAATTCTGAAATTTTTAATTTGCATTCTAAAAGTTCAATTTTTCCAAATTACACCCCGAATCAAACAAGTTTGTTTCAATCAAACCCACTAAATAACTCCCATTCCATTTGTCATCTGTTTCACCCCACGTGCAAATCACATGACATAAGGACTTATTGGTGACATAAGGAAGGACTTATTGGTCACAATACTCTTGATCCGACGCTCAAAACAAGTTTGTTTTGACTGGTTATCTATTGCACCTGATTGGAACAAATTTGTTTAATTTTTTTTTTTAATTAAAAAAATTTAACTGAAGGTATGCAATTTGAAAAAATTAAACCTCCATGATATAAATTGAAAATTTAAAAATCTTTCAAGGATCAAAGTACAATTACAATTAACCAAAATCTTTTCCACACAACTCCATTAAACCAATCTCCCAATAAATTTAGGTCTCGTTTGGTAACATGATATTTTTTTTTTTTTTTTTTTCATTTTATGGTCCAAAAAAAAACAAAAAAAATTTTGGAAATTTTTTTTTTTTTTTCGTCGCTTCGTTTTGAAAACAAAACCAAAATATAGGAGCATCTAAAAGAATATTTTTGAAAAAAAAAAAAAAAAAAGCACGCGCCTCTTTTAACCCACCCTTTAATAAGATTTCACCTTCAAATTTTGTTAACACCAAAATTTAGATCTTTTCGTCGAAAGTATAATGGGTCATTTCTCTATTTTCCTACCTACTGATCACCCAACTTTTTTCTCTCTCTCTCGTCTGTGTCTCTATGCAAAGACTCCAGAGCTGCCGAAGGTCGAAGGTGCTCGTCCTCTCAAGGTTAGACTTGCTTAGATCGATGTACCTCTGTAGTCCTAACCCTCTCTAAAAGGTAATTTTTTGAATTCATTTTTAAAATTTTTGGGGCGACTGGTGGTGGTGGTTAGGTGGTGATGGGTTTTGCATGGTTAGGTGTTGGGTGGCTAGGTGGTCGTGGATTTTGGTGGTGGGTGATGTATCGATGGTTTTTTAGTGATAGTTGGGTGATTGCTGGTGGTAGTTGGGTGACTGGTGGTGGTGGTGGGTTTTGCTTCGTTTGGTGTTGAGTGGCTGGGTGGTAGTGGGTTTTGGTGGCCGGTGATGTGTCGGTGAGGTTTTGGTGGTGGCTGGGTGGCACGTGGTGGTGGGTGATATATTGGTGGGGTTTTGGTAGTGATTGGGGCAGTTGCTGGTGGTTGTTAGGTGACTAGTGGTGCATGGGTTTTGCTTGGTTTGGTGTTAGGTGGCTGGGTGATAGTGAATTTTGGTGGCAGGTGATGTATCGGTGGGATTTTAGTGATAGTTGTTGGGTGGCTAGTGGTGGTGGGTTTGGTGGTTTTGGGAGATAGACTTTCAATAAAATACCAAAAATATTTATTGATATCTATATCTATACTACTAATAAAAAAATTATCTTAACATAAAAAAATTTTTGATTCGCTATTTTACACTCATAAAAAATTAAAAAAATCACTCTATCATTCCACATTTAATATCTAAATTACCATCATATGTTTATACATTTAAATTTCGAAATTACATCTAACATCACTTTTAATTATATATTCCCTATGTATAAATGTCAATTTTTATAAAAATTTTTGATTGATTGTATTACTATTAAAAAATATATGCACCATTATAAGCTTTAACAAATATTCAAAAATTTCATCAATATAATATTCCTCACCTTATTTATAAAAATAATATTATGATTTGATATTTATATTTTATTTTTCATCAAAATGTTTAACATTTTCATTTTTAAGATAAAAACTATATATATATATATATATATAGTTTTATATAGTTTTTTAGTCGCAGTAAACTTTTCAGACTCGGATAAAATTTTATGTGAAAACTCAATTTTAAAAAAAAAATTAATATGTTTTATAATATATATTATAGCATTATATATTAAATTTTATTCCAAATAACCTAGATAATCCTAAATACGGTAAGATTCTAATATGATTGGTATATTAATAATTATTTTATTTTATTCAATGATTTATAAGTGAAATCTTAATCAAATTAATTTTCTAATTATTTATTCTCTATTTATAAATGTCAATTTTTATAAAAAATTTTAATTGATTATAATATTCCTAAAAAATATATGCATTATTTTACGTTTTCACAATATATTCAAAAAAATATTTAAAAATTTCATCAATATAATATTACTCATCTCATTTATAAAGATAATTTTATAACTACATATGTATATTTTATTTTTCATCAAAATATTTTACCGTTTCATTTTTAAGATAAAAAATAATGTATATATAATTTTACATGATTTTTCAGTAATAGAAAACTTTTTAAATTGTATTAACAATTTATGTAAAAGCTTAATTTTTTAAAAAAAATTAATATGTTTTATAATATATATTATAGCATTGTATATTAAATTTTTTCATAATTGACTTAACTAATCCTAAATATAATAAGTTTCAATACGATTAGAATATTAATAATTTATTTTATTTATTCAATAATTTATAAGTGAAATCTTAATCAAATTAATTTTAAAAAAATTTAAATTTCAAACATCACTAAAAAAACACTTTCAATTACAAAATTATAGAAACAATATAGAATTTTAAGTATTTGTTTTCTTTTTTATTATTTTTCTTAAAGTTAGAACAATAACACTTGAAAATATACAAAATTTTCAAAAATTTTATAATGAAGTATGAGAGATGAAAAAATAAGATTGGTAAATATTAAAAAATCTTTAATTTTAAATACACATATATTAAATATTTATTTGTTAATTTTTAAAAAAAAATTATTCACGTGCAACACAAGTGGTGCTATTTTTTGTAAATAACTACTAAATATGTTTTATATTTTTTTTATTTTTTATCACAAAAAAACAAAAACTCATTTTATTTTATTTTTTTAAAAAAACAAAAACGTTATCAAACGCATCCTTAAATTAAAATAATTTAATTTAATTGTCCAAATTAATAAAAACTAATATTTGAACTTTCTTTTAAGTATGACTTGATATTCCTATTAAAAAAACTTTTTTATAATAATTATATTTATACCTAATTTAAAATTCACTATCAATCTAATAATCACTATCATTACTTCCAAATTAAGTCCCAGTTGGGTTCCAAAGGAAGAATGGACAAGTGACAAAAATTTACCATCGAAATCTCACATTAATTTTTCCATTCCATTTTCCTTACATCAAGACCCAAATAAAAAAATAAAAATAAAAAAAAAAAGGTAAACAAAACCCTTACCAAAAAACACCTAAAACCCTCAAACACACAGCTCATGTACAACAGACTTATTCCACCTTGACATCCTGTACCTTCCTCTCTTCTTCCTTCGCCTTTGGAACTGTAATTTTCAGAACACCATTCTTCATCTCTGCCTTGATCTCATCAAGCTTGTACATACCCGGAGGGAGATCAAGCCTGCCGGTGTATATCCTCGCCTCCTCCTCCTCCGATTCCTTCCCTCCTCCTCTAATGATCAGGGTGTTCTGATCCACTGTGATCTTCATCTTTTCCTTGTCAACACCGGGCATGTCTATTCGAATGTACAGAGCATCCTTGTCTTCCTTCACATTCCATCCCCTCCTTGTTCCTGCAGCCCCCAATCCATGAGATGCTGGGAGGAAGGGGTCCATCATTTGGTCCATTACCCTCAGAATCTGGCTCAAGCTCCTTGTTGGAAAAAAGGGATCAAATACGTCTACACACCCAAAAAAAAAAAAAATCAAACAATAAGAGCCCAATTCAAGTCAGAAATGTCACTTGAAGTTCAAAGAAATTCTCTGTCGATCACTAGCTGTTAAACCCAGAAAAATCAATGGAAAAGCCTCGAATCCGACAATTAGGTAGATATCAACCGATAGAAGGAATGAAACAGATTATTGAAGCTCAAAGACATCTATAACACACCTATAAAACTCAAAATCTGAGAGAGAGAGGGAGAGAGGGCAAAATTCAAGTCAGAAAATTTTTTGTCCCGAGATCAAAGAGACACTGCGATAAGGCAACTAGTTTGAATCTCGGTTATCACTAGTTAACCACAGGGAAATCAAAGAAAAAGCCTCGAATCAGAGAACTGGATGGAAACAATTTGATAGAAAGTGATACAAATATCAAAAAGCGAGGAATTGAACACTGGGACAAGGACTACCTGAGAATATGCTGGGGACAACAACGTCGCGTTGGGAAGAGACCGAGCGGTCGCGGCGATCAATGTCGATACCACGGGCAGCGTCGTCGACTTCGGTCACCTGAGTATTGGTGTTGAAAGAGCGACAAACGGAGGCAGAGCAGATGGAGTTGGTGAGTTTGTTGAACAAAGGCGAAGCGTTAGCTCTCCTGAGGAGAAGTGACGAAGCCATTTCTCTGGAATTCCACAGAAGGTTTACGTTATCGCTGTGAGTTTCTGGGGAGTTTTGTGTGGGTTTAAATGGGTACGTTGAAGAAAGTAAGGCAGTGCTGTGGAGTTTATATGGTTGAACGTGGCGGAGGGGAAAGGTGGTACTGGAAAGAACGAAAGAGAGAGAGGTATAGACAGTTCCAGAGGACAGACGAAGAGAGAAGTTTCTAGATTGAGCAATACTAGTTGAACATAAAAATTTGATCTAATTTATTGATATAATGATGTAATTTTAACAGAACTATTAGATCAACATCAAGTTTCAATGTTTGATGAATTTCACGATCAATCGAAAAATAATAGTAAATTAAGTCAACAAATTAAATCAATAAATTAAGTGTCAATAACATTACTCTTCTAAATATTTATCGATAGGAATGTCTTGTTCTATTCATCTATAAGTCTAACATCTTTCCTAGTTCGCACAAGTCCAGCCCACACAAGTGCAAGTTCTACTTATGTTTTAAATTGGTTTGTTTAGATGATTTTTAGGGTGTTGGTGCAGTTGAGATTCGAATTTTCATCCGTATATATACTCACCAATGTGTTAAAAAGGAATTTGTGATAAAAATAAAAATGATAAAATCATGAATTATTATATTTATGAAAAAAATAGAAGTAACACATACATAAAATAAATTAAGAGGGAATTAACTTAGGTGATTACTACGTTATCCCTGAGAAAGAGTGGGTGTTTAAACCCACCTGCCTCTAATGTATGATAGCCAAACATAATAATGTGTGAGGTAATAATAAATAATATATTCCCAACCAAAAAACAAAAAAAAAACAATTCAATAGTTAAATTGATATAATGATAACTAAACCGACAAAAAATACATACAAAAAATGCTATTAACCCTTGTAATTATATCAATACTATTAGACTATATCTCTTCATACAGTATTGTAGTAGGCTATTATTTCAATTTGTTATGTCGCACTAATGTTACTCTTTACTCTTTAGCCATGATTGATTAGAGTATACCATGAAATATAACTCAAAAATTGATTCCAATCAAATCTGCACATATTGTAATAATTAGTCCATCACTTTATCCTATCTCAACCGTACACTGTTTGGATCGAAGTTTGGCTAAAATGTAGGTCTCTTGCCCCAATGCCAACATAAACAATAACTGAACGAATTATTTTTCCCTTTGAAGAGACTTCGTCAGAAACCAGCCATTTTTCTAGTAGGTGGCCTCGGATCTATACTCCAAGAATGTTGTAAAGTACTGGGGAATACCGGCGGATGTGGTGAGTGATCGGGATGCTCGGTTCACTTGACATTTTTGTTTAAGTTAATGGAACATGATTTCCTAAAGCAAGAATATCAACAAATCTGATCATGTCAATGGCAAAACAAAGACAAATCATGATACACTTCTATAATCTCTAAATTTGCATACGTTATTGAAGTGAGTAACATATAACTTGCATTTGGCAAATGTGATTGAATTACAATACACCGAAGACCTACCTACCTCTCACGAGGGAATGGAAGATAGTGGCTTTATCCTCTCCAACAACTTCTCAGCCTCGATGAATCCAACAAATGGCCCCAAAGACCAGTATTTCATATGTTTCCATCTGTTTACCTTTTTCAAATTAAAGCGGGTATTTGTATTGCATTCACGGAAAAATTATAACTTCAACAAAAATTTAGAAAATTTATACACCAGTACTGGCCTGGGTGTGAAGGGAAGTGCCAAACAATGGAGGTGGAGATGGTTAATACTGTTAAATGGAGGCTGATGAAAACCAAATCTACAAAGAAAAGGCAGAAGAAGATCATATGCACAACCTCGCTTTCAGTAAACTTCATGTGCAAAGAATTCTGAATAACAAAGTTATCATCAAATCTTTCAATCTATTCAAATGCCACAATCATATAACAATAATCCAGAAAATGTACTTGATTAATATGAAATAATTAGTGTTTATTTGCCATAAGCCTATGAAACACATATTCCAAGTTCTTCGCTATGTCAACAATTAGTTATGGAAGTTGATTGTGTGTATATCATTCATTTAGTTGAATGGATGCTCCTTACCCTAATACAAAACTAAACAAATCATGTAAATCAAATCTAAATTTTAAAAAGATCATAATCTAAGAGATAAACCTTCCTTAGATCATGAAGTTTCGCGCACCTATGAGGTGGAACTGGAGGGATTGAATTTTGAGCATAAGAAATAATACCTGTATTGCTTGGAATGAGATGCAGGTGCATCTCTGCGTAATAGATTCTGCCCTACGTCGAACATGTGACTAACTGGATATGAAGTAAAAAAATATAATTAACTTATAAATTAAGGAAGCACAAAGTAAATTTATAACGCGCAAACCAATTCAGTATTTGTATCAATTGCCATCATTAGGATATGAATTACCCAATGAAAAATCTTCCGGTCGTCTGTGGAGGTCTCTGACAGTTGGAATGTGCTCTATCGGAATTACTAAGTAATGCCTATTAAGACCCAGATGACAATTAGAATAACCATAAATGATAATAGTTGAGCAAGCAAACATGGTAGTAAAACTGCTAGTACCAGTTAGCAGTACAACCTTCAGTATTTCCTTAGAATATTTGTCTGATTCTAACACAACCTCGACATATCCAAAGTAAAAATCACCAATAGTTTGATCAATTAAAAGCAGAACCCATATTCTCTCTTTCTGTTTTTTTGGTATCATCGTCAGGAGTGTCTAGACTTTGAACCAGATTATATCTCAATTAATCCCCCTCCTGGTCCGGTCAAAAGCACGTTATCTACGCTGAGATTTGAAGATTTATGTGGGATAGATCAAAAGCACGTTATCTACGCTGAGATTTGAAGATTTATGTGGGATAGATCCAGAGCCTAAAAGATGATCTAAGTTTTAAATTCAGAACGTGGGTTTAGAGCTCGTCCCTTCATGTCTCCACTATTCTAAAGAGGGCCTAAATATGCTCAATTTTGTCGCACAGTGCACATAATCGAGCACAATACGAAAGGTTTAAGCACAGTTTCTAAATATCCCTCATATTCAGACTGTCTTTAGCATAGATATGCAGCTAATCCAATCAATTAGCAACAAAATCGAAGTGAATTCGATACATGTATAGAATATCGTAAATCTATGGTGAAAGAAAAATGAATTGAGAAGTTCTTCAAGAAACGTAACGTTGGAATTCAGGTAATGTAAAGAATGGCCACAAATTGATACCTGAATGCAGAAGGATTGATGTCCTGAAAGGCAACTACTCTCTCATCCTGTAAAATCAAAAGTAAAAAACGTGAAGACGATCGAAGGTTCGAGGTTATACATGCATGAGAGAGAGAGAGAGAGAGAGAGGGAGAGGGAGCAGACGGAGTGGATGAGAGTGGTGGAGGTGGAAGAGAGTGCTATTTGGCAGAAGATGCACGACGATGCTGCTCCCGCCATTAGCCCCGCCCCTTTGGCAGGGATACAGATCATTCGACGTCAACGATGGTGGTTGCAGGCTTGAAGGAAAAAGGAAGCGTTAACTTTGAATTACGACTTTGCCCCTTGTGGAATGTTGATATTATTTTAGGATGAATCACACTTTTGCAACTTAAAAGATTTCATGATTTTCAGTTTGGACCCTTAATGATTAATTTTTTATATTATGCTCTCAATCTCATAAAATGATTGTAATATGACCTTCAAACTAACTTTTGTTATAATTTCTATCAAATCTACTACTTGGCTGTCACACTAAATGCAATGAGATTTGACGAATATAGCAAAGGAAATAGAGGTGTTCAAAATTTTACCCACGGACCCATTTCGCAATATTTCAATCCTATTTTATTTTACTCGATATTTCGACTTCCGTATAATTTCAGTCAGGTAATGGAAGGTTTCTTTAATATATCTTAAATATTGGATAGAAATGTGGAATACTCATAAAGTTTTTGCATTCTTACCCGCCTTGCAAGTTTATTTAATTTTTTTAAAAAATAATATATGTTTTATAAAACAACATTGTTCTATTTGTCATAAAATAATGTCATTTAAGAAGTATATGACTTATGATTGTGTGTTTATTTATAGTGTTTTAGACTATTAAATAATATATTAATTAGATTTATTGTATTTTCTTTAGTTTTACTAGTTTATTGTGTTAATTTACATTTCTTTATATGATATATTAATAGTCTAACTGTAAAAATAGTCTAAAAATTTGGTAATTGAATTATTAAAATGACCAAAAAATAAATAATCGAAAGTTTTATCTCAATTGGGTAAGATCAACAAAAGAAATAGTTTTTTGTAACTCATCAACTCAGAATATCAATATGGAATCCAAAAATTCTTATCTATCGGCTCGAGTGAACAGCCTTAAAAGGAAAGTAGTGTGAGGGTCCTATTAAAACTATTTTATAACACAAATGGTGGAATGTACACCAAATAATTATTAGGGTTGCAAATTACAATTTTTAAAATGTTTTTGGTACAGTGTGATTCACCCATAATTTTATCAACAAAACTCATATCATCATCCACAGTAAACTTGATATTATATTTTCGTTGTTAATTCGCTGATTATTATTTATTTGATCAACAAATCAATCTAAATAACAAAAGGAAATTAAATTTGTGACACAATACATCTTTACGCCAACCACTAGGTAACCACCTATCTAAGGGATCCTAATTTTATTTTTCTTCTTTTATAAGATTTATTATTTTATTATAATTACTAACTACTAATTTTAATGACTATAGAATCATGGTTATTCATATATTTCTTTCAAACGTAACAGAAAAAAGAGATATATATATATATATATATATATATATTTTGCTACAAAAGGTTCATATTTATATCAATTACTTTCTTGAACTCCAAATCAACTACCGTAGCTTGAATTAATTTAAAAACGACAATTGCTTGCCACCTCTACTGGGCTGCCTAAATTTCAGTTTGACCCCACTATTATTCGAATTTACAAAACAGACCACACCCAAACTCGCCGCTTCGCCAATCGCCACTGGTATACTCATCCTCGCTCACCAAGTCCCTAAACCTATGCCAATCCAATCCTTAAACCCCAATCCCCAAATTCATGCGTTTTCTACTCAACAAAACCCTCTTACCCTTCTTCTCCTTTAGCCCCAAAACCAGTGTTAGCCCTCAGACAATCGCTAACTTCAAGGTCACCACTGTCCGAACCATGGGCTCAGGATCGACTCAGCGCATGTTCCAGCTCAAACTGGACCCACTCACCGGTAACTCCGAATGGGTCGTTGTCGAAGAAGACGAAGCTCCAGAAGATTGCCAAAAACCCCTCCTTGCAGCCACGTCGTACCTCGACATGCTTAATGACACTCGCAGGAACAGAGCCTACCGTGAAGCCATCGACAAGACTATAACCAAACCTTGCCATGTTCTTGATATTGGGTATTCATTAAGTTTTCCTTTAGATACTGATTTAGTTCACTCCATAATGCACACAAATAGTTACTGATTTCTTATCAGTCCGAATGAATATACGTGCTTGGTAATGTGATTGAAAATTGAGTAATTTGTATGCAGCTACTATATTTGGGTACCCTTCAAATTGCCAGGATCACATTCCACAACTGAAAAAAGAATCTTAATTGTTCAAAAACTAGCTGCTTTCCATAATTCCAATGCTTGCAACCAAACATTCTAAGTAGAGGGATAGAGATGGAGATAGAAACAATCTCACAACTATTAAAAATTAGACAGATTAACAATGGGACACCCTGGCGGTATTTCCGTTTTGTATATGAACAAAAGTTTTAAAGGCTCACCAACTAACTCCCTTAGGATTGGGTCTCAAATCCACTTACAAGGGTTTGGGGCGATTCAACTACCTTATTGTAAACTGACCTTTATTAGCTGAATGAAACATAATATTTCCCTTCAAAAAAGGGGAAAAAAATATTTTAAAGGTATAATATTGATGATATTATGAGTAGTTATATTCACTAATGCTGAGTAGATGTTATGTTGATGAAAATATGCAATTTGTTTTTTTTTTTTTTACATAGATTACAGTACAATAATTACTTTGTAGTGCTGGAACTGGCTTGTTATCTATGATGGCTGCTCGGGCAATGGGCACTGCAGATTCAAGTTCCAGTTCAAAGGGGATGGTGACAGCATGTGAGTCATACCTTCCCATGGTGAAGTTGATGCGGAAAGTTGTGCGTGCCAACTGTATGGAAAGAAAAGTACGGGTTATTAACAAGAGATCAGATGAATTAGAGATTGGTGTGGATATCACTTCTCGTGCAGATGTCCTTGTGAGTATCATACTATCATCATCTTGCACTTGTGTCAAACTTCACCTACAATTTTTTCGTCTTAGTACTTTGTGGCCTATGCTGAACTATAAGCATTATGGTGCAACAATATCATTTATGTCAGAGACACTTAATGGTTGTAAAGCTAAATGTAGTGCATAATTTGGAAATATAGATCAAACCAGAGTCTTTACGTGAGAATTTGCAGAAAATACTATTGAGGGTTTTCTTTATGCTTATGATTGTAGATTCTCAAATGCTAAATGCAGGTTAGTGAAATATTAGACTCAGAATTGTTGGGCGAAGGGGTAATTCCAACTTTGCAGCATGCTCATGACAAGCTATTGGTGGAAAATCCCCAAACAGTGCCTTACCGAGCAACTACTTATGGCCAGGTGATTGACCAAACATACTGTATTATTGCTATTTTTGCAAATAGCATGGATAACACCTTTGTAATCGCATTTTTTTTGTAATACATTGATGCTAGTATATTGGCCTCTTATTTTCAGCATGACATGAAGCGAATGAAGTTTTACATGCCATTGACTCTAGAGTGCGGTTGATAGGATTAGGAAAGTTCTTAGGTGGTATATAATTAACTAGTTGGAAATGCAGCATTGGTTCCCGTCTACGCCTAGACCCAGAACTTCAATCATATATATATGACGTGATGAAACACGTGATTTACTAGTGGACTCTAGGATTTGTATTTTCTGCTTACCCTAATTGAGCCATTAGAGGTCAAACCCTATGAATGGTTAGCTGGTCCTTTCCATGTCATAGATTATTACCAACTTGCTCACTGTGTGTCAAGGGTACTCTGAGCCAAACCAACCATGGCAGAATGTAATTTTTTTTTTTTTATGAATACTCCACTCAACCTAGCTCAACGTTGTTTTTATCCCAACATATGATTGATTCCTATATTATACGTTGTCTATATTATGGCTTACATGATCTGTGCAGTGTTACCTGGTTCTCCTCAATCAAAATTCACAAAGAAATTCTTTTAACTCTCATTAAAAAGACATTCTTTTCCTTTTGTAATTTTCTTTCAGCTGGTTGAAAGCATATACTTGTGGAAGCTGCATGATTTATATAATAATGAAGCAAAAGCATCTGATGGTATTCATCTTGCGCCAAAGGGACTGGAGACAATCTTATGTGTGAAATCACAACAACTTCCCCTGCACTGTGATTCAATGAATGAAGAAATAAAACTGGTAGGCATTATTTACTTCTTAGAATAAGTTCTATAGAAAGTCAGGTTTTCCATTTTCTACTCAGTTGAGTATTCATCCAGCTGTCAGAACCCTTCAAAATTTTTGAATTTGACTTTTGGAAAAGGCCAGAGAGTCATGGAGAAACTGAGCTACACATAAAGGCAACTAATGATGGTACAGTTCATGCTGTTGTTTCATGGTATAATTTGGTATAGTAACATTTATTTTCGTTGTGAGATTTTTCCTAGGGATATTATGCTAGTATTTTGGCTTTTTTTCAGGTGGATACTTCAACTTGATAGTGAAGGGACAATCTTATATTCCACTAGCCCAAAATGGATAAGTTGCCCATTCGAGATAAAAGAGTCGCAGTCATCCTTTTCTAGTGAGTAAAGGCAACTTATGCTAAATTCTAGTTATCATTTATGCAAGGTTTATCTAGAAGTGATGAAAGAAACAAATAATTCACACAATCAGAGGAATATTTTTTCACTAATTTACAGATGCTGCCTTTCTAGTGGGACTTTGAGAAAAGATAATCAAAGGTCAATATGGTGCATTGGCATGTGACTTTAATGAATCAGTCTTTGTTCTCGTGCCCATATCAGTGACTTCTTTTTCGGGAGCACGCAAATGACAAAACTCATTTCATTTAATTTGGCTAGACATTAAAAGCTTAATAGACATTACTGAAGTTACTTGGATTAATGATAATACTCACATACTTTGGCTTAAATAATCAATTTTTTGAACAATTCTGGAAGGGTGTTGGACTAAGTAAACAAGGATCATCTGCAATTACTTTCCACAAATTTTCTGATTTCATGCTCATTTTCAAAAGAAGCCAATTATATGTTTTTTGAATTTTTTTCCATTGTTTGAATTATATATAATGCTTCTGCAGGTGATGGGGATTGGTGTGACCATTGGAAACAATGTGTCTGGTTCATC